TTGCCTATGTGGATGCAGTATTGGTCTGATGCTGCATCTGTCCTTCGCGTGATCGAAGTGTGAGAACTCTGATTCTCACTGCCGCTGGGAGCAGTGACTGTCAGTAGTCATCGCTGTCTGCTCTGCGCCACCCACCCGCTCACACTTACTGGAGTGCTTGGCTGTGGAGGGGAGGAAGCGGCTGGCTCAGCTGTCAGCAGATTGTTGAGAGGCTGAGCCATGTGCTGCTCCAGACTGGGGTGGATTTTGACCTTAACTGGTTTCCAATTGCGCTATAGCTGAAGGACAGCTACTGCGCAGTTGTGTAATCCTGGGACGACGTCCATGAATGTCATTCCAGGACACTCCCCACCAGTGGTGCACACCCGGCCCCGCCAGTGATGGCTGTGCCCTGTGGACACAGCTGATCACGTGGTACGGTAAACGGCCAATCATGGCGGCTTTTTACCACCAATGACCCAGAGATCACCGGGTAATTACAGTTGCCGGTTATCAGCTGCACTTTCCTCACGCTGTCACAGCGTGAGGAAAGTACTGCCGAGAACCGACTGGCAACAGAGGGATCGGCCCTGATCAGTGCCACCCACCTGTGCCCTGCAGTGCTGCCCATCAGTGCAGCCTCATCAACACACATCCGTGAAGGAGAAAAATTACCTGTTTGCAAAATTTTATAATATACAAAACTTTATTTTTTTTCTTCAAATTTTTTGCTCTTTTTTTTTGATTATAGCACAAAAAATAAATACCACCAAAAGAAAGCTCTATTTGTGTGACAAAAATGATAAAAATTTCATATGTGCAGTGTTGCATGACCGTGTAATTGTCATTCAAAGTGTGAGAGCACTGGAAGCTAAAAATTGGCCTGGACAGGAAGGGGGAATAAGTTCCCGGTAGGCAAGTGGTTAAAGTCGGGATCTTTCTCCAGTCTGGACTAGCTTAGCAACCTCAGCCGACGGCATGCTTCAGCCCATTGTCAGCTGAATACGGGCCACAGGAATGCAGAACCAACTGCACGTCTGTGATCCACAGGAGAAGCACAGCCAAAAGAGCTTGGTCTATACGTCTCCTTTTTAATGTTCCCTAGAAAGTAAGGACACTAGACTCTGATTGGAAAAGCCTTGTTTGGCATGGTGAACCATGGTTCAAACTGGACTTGCCACAATGGTAACCTCACTGAATAGTTTCATGTCTTTGGGATTAACTGGTAGGCAGCAGGGCTGTGAACTGAACATTTTTTATGAAATGTAATGAGATCTTTAAAAATTTTGAATTCCCACTTCCGTGGTTTAAATTGCAATGTTATCTTTTAAAATTTTGTCCAAATTCTGAAGTTTTATTCTTGGAGGTATAAAGTAATATGTTTGGTAAAAGTTGCTTAGGTTACTGTTGGTGAAAGCTGGGCTTGACAGATTCCTGAAGGGTCAACAGATTGATGTGTCTGATCTATTGCTAGACAGATGGCAGAATTGGTTTACATGCACAAGGGCATTTTTGAAGTATGCATGTTGCTGTGTACTATATTGAAGCATGAACCTTAGTTTAAAGGGTTCTAAAGGCTTAAGGATTTTTACCTTAATTCACTCTCTGCATTACAGTAAAAACTCTATGTCGCAGAATACACCCCCACCCCCTCATACGTTTCTGAGCTGATCTCGATCCAGCAATGTGCATGAGAACCATTTGGCTCCCACTGCTGTCAATCACAGCCAGTGAGGAGGGAGTGGGGCGCATCACACTGCAAGGACTCTCCCCTCCTTGCTAGTCCCTGGGTGCGGTGCTGGGGACAGGCGGTGAGGAGATAAATATTTAATGTTGTTAAAATTGCGCTGTTTAAGTTTCTATAAAGCCCGTTTTTGTTTTTAAAAGCCCTAGGCATTCCTAAAAGCACCTCAAATTTAAGTTTTGGTTAATTTTTTTTTTTTTTTGGGGGTGGATTTGATTTAAATCACTAATGAAAAGCTCGATTTAAATCATTTTTAAAGAGCAACTGTAATCTGTCCCGCAGCAACTCCTCCTCCTGACCCGATGTTCACTCACCAACAGTCCCATTCACTTTACTGCGGCAGAGCAGCCCCACTGCGCTGAATCACATACATGTACGTGATCCAGCCCTTCCGGGTAGGAGGTGTGCGCACCACCCCAGCTGTGCTACAATTTTCTTCAGCCCATGCCAATTAGCCCCCAGGAGAGAAACAAAAGCCCGAAGTACAAGCTGCTAGAATCCTTGCTTACATAAGGACAGGGACTCCCTGTGTAACAGTACTGATTAGACCAGTGCTGCATATGGAGCTCATTGGCTGCTGTGGCTGTTTAGTGCAGAAAGATTTATGCTTCTGGGGATTAAAGGGTAAGTGCACTTTAAAACAAAGTTTATGTAACTTTTTTTTACACCCTTTCCTGAACTTGCCTAACCCACCCTTCTCCACAGATGCTTGCTTACCACTTTTCAGAATGGTCATGGCTCCGCTGTTTGCTTTATAAATGTTCAACAGAAGCCAGTCGAATGGTCATGCTGGAAAATCAGCCTTTGATCGTGCTGGCAGCCATTGGCTTCATATATTTTAGACTGGATCTAATGGCTGCAAGCACTGTTCTGTGTATTTTGGAATTGGGGGAAGTACCTGCTATCAGAATACAAAGGAACAGCAGAAGAGATCATCACTTGTGTTGATGTGGGGATCTGTCTGGTTTTTTTGTTCAACCCATGTATACCCAATTTAAGCTGGCTATAGACTGTTCAAATTTTGGCTAGTTCAGCAGGGACTGTCCGAGATTCGAACCATGTTTGGGCAGGCTAAATGTACCCAAGTTGATTGATCAACCAGCCTGTCAGATTTTACATGTGATTTATTGCTAGCGACTATTATAGCTGCCAGCAGTAATCGCTGTGTTCTCCTGGTGGGACGGCATTCCCTGCTGAGAGAACACAATGGCTCCGCAGGAGGGATTCCCCCAATCAACAGTGAATATTGATGGGGGGAATCAAGTGTGTTTTTTTTTTTTTTTTTTTTTTTTTTTTTTCCTTCCCCTCATTCCTTTTTCCGGTTGCAGGACAGACAATCACTCTGTCTATGGCCGGCTTTATAGTGAAGATTCAGAAAATGCCTATTCCTGACTGGTATACCATAAACCATTGGTGGTCAACTTTCTTGATATGGGGTCTCAAGTGTGGTCCTTGACATAACCAAAGGTCTGCACATAAAATTCAGTGAATAGTCATTATCTGAGACAGCAGCCACACAAAAAGATAGTCCTACTCTGGGTATGATGAGAGATGGTCAGATACTGTAGACATAATACAAGTGATGATCAGACTACGAACATAATACAGAATATGGTCAGATACAGACATGATCCAAGACTGTAGACAAGCTGCAGGAGACTATCAGACTGAGCAGGCTAGTTGGAGGCTGGGAACACATCACTTGAGGCTGATAGGATTCACTACTATAACAGGGTAACAGAGATCAGTGGGCCCTAAGGGCTGCACTAAGTGCCAAAAGCCTGCAGGTTGGGCTCCAGGGCCTCAAACTGTTTTGGATTAGGCTTCCGATGCCAATTACCATTCTTGTGCTTCCATAACGATATATACAGTGATGTTGAATTCATATTGCCAGGCACCTGGGATATGTAGTTCTGGACGTTGGGTAGGTATATTATTTTTATTTTTTTACCTTTAGCCCTGCTGCAGGGCTCACCTGTCAAGTGTAAGCATTCAGGCGGCAGCGGTGCTGCGGATTTCTTCCACACACTGCCAGCCTCTCCCCGTGGACACGTCCACTCTCCTTGTCCTGACCCGGAGGTGACATTGTGTCACTTCAGGGTCCCCATTGAGAGATTTGCTGGGAAAGAATGTAATGTGGCGCAATGTGCACTGCATTACTTTCAGGGGAGACATCAGGGTCTTTTAGACCCTGGATGTCTCAGAGAACCTGTCACCAAAAATAATCACATAGGGGTCTTTTGTCCTCTGATGAAAGAAAGAGTGTGCTTATTCTTTTCAATAAGGAAAAAAAAAATTCTTACTAACACCCCCCCCCCTCCCCCAAAAAAAATTTTTTTAGGCCCACCCCCACATATATTCACGTACAAACGTAAAAGCTTACGCTGGGGCTCCTACACATGAAACCGTCGATTACGGTACACAGAATGAGAGCAATAATTCTAGCAGCAGAACTCCTAACGCTAAACTGAGGACCTATAAGGAGCTTTAAATGTGTCACCTATAGAAAATATAGGGTACTGAGGTCCGTCACCATTTCACAAGTGTGCACAAATTTAAGGTTTGACATGTTGGAGATCTATTTTACTTGGTGCAGCCTCGTCTTTTATATTTTACAAAAAAATAGGGTAATTTATTGCTTTTTTTTTTTTTTTTTTTTGTGCCTTAACATTAACTTGATTGTATTTTTTAATAAAATTTTGCAGTAATATTATGCCACATAAAAAAATTGCAACTACCACCCTTTTATTCTGTAGGGTGTCTGCTTTCTGGATTTGGGGGTTTTGTGTAATCGTCAGACCAAAAATTATTTTTTAAATGTGTGCAAAAACGGCTTTGGCAGCGAAAGGGATAGAGGATAAGCCTGACACTCTCCTTTCCTGATGAGCACCCAATCTGTTCTCCTTATACTGAAAGGTCCCTCCCCTCCCTGCTAGTCCCCGGATGCGGTGCTGGAGACAGGGAGGGGAGGTGGAGATAGTGCAATGTTAAAAATATTGGTGTTTGCCAAATGAGGTAGTTTAGTATTTAGAGGAATTTGCCACATACTCGCAGCATTGGCATTAACATGGGTATGGCAATGTATAGCCATTCACTTGTATATGCCTGACTGTGCAACCTGTGGCTCTAGTAGCTGGAAAATGCCTGGAGTTTTAACCTTGAGAACCTTTGAGCTTCTAAATGTCCATATCAATGTACCTAAATGTAGTACTCTGCTTCTCCAAAAACTATTTGTAGTATTGTCTTTTAATTGGTGAACTCTCTGCTTGATTTTAGTATTACCAACGGTGGCAAGACCACTCTGACAAACAGATTGATAAAATCCCTTCCCAGCTGTTGTGTCGTACATCAGGATGACTTTTTTAAGGTAAGTGGGTTTTTTTTTTTTTATACTGTTAATTGCTTGAGATGGATTATAACAAGACAGTATGTCATGAGATAATATAAACCTCTTTACCCTTTTTGTTTTTTTTTGTTTTTTTGTACCCATCTGTCACGCTCATGTCTTCCAGTACTGCTTACATGCTAGATTTTTCACAGTTTATATATTAACAGTTTTAGTATCAGTTTTGACAGGTCTTTTGTTCCCATGCATGTCCATGGGAATGCAAAAGTAGCTGAAGCAGGTGAAATGCAATGATTTCTGTATGATCTCAGAAGTGTCTCAAACTGGTATGGAAAGTTGCACTTGCCTGTCAACACTGGCCCTCATTGTGTGATTTGCCATTTGAGGTAAGGTGTAAAACACACCTCAGGTAGCATATGCGTAATAACTATCATTACTGGTAGATAGGTGGCCTATCAACTTAAGTTACAGGACTGTCTGCATACTTTTATAGACATGACCCTTCTACATCTTTCTTTGTGGTCACTGTTTCAGCCCCAGGACCAGATCAAAGTTGAAGATGGATTTAAACAGTATGATGGTAAGACAGTGATGTTCTCTGCCTCATTCAGATAACTGGTGAAGGTGGAGGGCAATTCAACAAGCAATCAAAACGTTTATGAGGTAACTGTGTTCTTTTTTTTTCTAACTGCAGCATAAATGTGATTGTATTTTTATAGTGATCGATGCTTTGGATATAGATGCTATGATTGAAACTATTAGCGCATGGAAAAAAGACCCTGTGAAGTTTGAGAGATCTCATGGTATAAACAACACTATGGATAATGAGCCGTGCCAAGAGAATGAGGAGCAAGAAAAATGTCACATCCTGATCGTAGAAGGATTTCTTTTATACACCCATGAGTAAGTGTTTCTTCCTGTACAAGAATGTTGTTGAAGTAGTGATGAATTAAATGAGCCATATACAACCATAGTCCCTTACACTCACTGGCCACTTAATTAGGCACGCATGTTCAGTTGCTTGGTAACACAAATTGCTAATCCGCCAATCACATGGCAGCAATTCAATGCATTTAGGCATCTAGACGTGGTAAAGGCGACTTGCTGAAGTTCAAACCGAGCATCAGAATGGGGAAGAAATGGGATTTAAGTGGCTTTGAATGTGATATGGTTGTTGGTGCCGGACGGGCTGGTTTAAGTATTTTAAAAACTGGTGCTCTACGGGGATTTTCATGCACAACCATCTCTAGGGTTTACAAAGAGTGGTCTGAAAAAGAGAAAATATCCCTGTGAGCGGCAGTCGTGTGGACGAAAATGCCTTGTTTATGTCAGAGGAGAATGGGCAGACTGGTTCAGGATGATAGAAAGGCAACAGTAACTAAAATAACCACTTGTTACAACCAAGGTATGCGGAATACCATCTCTGAACGCACAACACGTCAAACCTTGAAGCAGATGAGCTACAGCAGCAGAAGACCACATGGGGTTCCAGTATGCCCATCTTCTGATGGCCACTTCCAGCAGGATAATGCACCATGTCACAAAGCTCCAATCATCTGAAACTGGTTTCTTGAACATGACCATGAATTCTGTCATGTTCAAGGAGTTGAATCTGAAGTGCATGATGCTGTTGTGTCAATATGGACCAAAATCTCTGAGGAATGTTTTCAACACCTTGTTGAATCTATGCCATGAAGATTTAAGGCAGTTCTGAAGGCAAAAGGAGGTCCAACCCGGTACTAGCAAGGTGTACCTAATACAGTGGCTGGTCAGTGTATTTTGGTAGGCCAGTAATGGGCAGTTAACTCTTTTGCACCAACTCCTCCCGGCTCTTTAAGAGCTTCTAAATGCTGAGAGTTGGGAATTTGGGCCATGTGACCGCTGTGATTGGCTATCAGTGATCACATAATTCGGAGAGAGCTCCTGATGGCAGGTATGCACCGGGAGCTTACTGATCCTCACCAGTTACCATTCAGGGAGCGGGCTCTTGGCATTGAGGCCCACCCACTGAGAGGCCACATGTACGGCTGGCATGAAGTGGACAATAAAATTCAAGAAGGACATTTTGTGCAAAAGAAAATTTCAGGAGAAAAGGTAGCAATTTTATAGCCAACCAATTTTGGGATAAATTTAACTTGGCATGGCCATGTATAAACTTTCATCCAAAGCTAAATGTGTACCCACAACATTTTTTTTGCTACCAGTAACACCTTCCATATCACAAATGCCTCTTGTAGAAGTTTTCCAATAACCAAGCCACACAATGAAGCTCCGGTTATTGTAATGAAAGGTGTGAGTACCCTCAGGCCAGCTTTGACCCCGACACATCTGTTGCTATGTCACTGACTAAAGAATATCAAAGGTTTGAGAGGCTCTTTGAAAAGGAGAAAAAATATTTTAGTGGCAATAGTATGTAGTTTTTATGAATAAAAAAAACTGCAGACTTTCATTGAGTGCACATAGATTCCAACATTTCCAATATTACATTTCTGTTTAATTGCAATGTGTGGGTTTTGTATTTTTTTTTTTTATTCTACCATGTAGTTTTTGTAATTTTTAGCTCTTGATCTAGATCGGCCTTTTTAACAACCAACACCTGAACTAATGTTCTTGTCTTGGGGAACCCTGACTAATTAGATCTACAGCTGTCAGTACAGGATGGTCTTTAGAAAGAATGCTCCTTAGAGTTGAGGTCCGTGGGAAGAATCCCTTTTTTACATTTTGGATAAGCTTTCTGGTGTTGGTGAGAAGTTATCTGACTGTGGATATTGCTCATTAAAGAACCCCCAGAAACTTGTGGAACCCTGGTTGAGAGAGGGCTGGTCTAGATCATGGGATGCCCTTACTGGTCAGAGGTGATATTTGATAAATGCTCATTTAAATCTTACTATTTGACCAGCATGAATACTAGTCTGTGTGTTTTTGCAGCATGAATTGCTTAGTTGACTGTACAAACCTATATATTTTTATTTCAGATCTCTAATAGAAATGCTCACCCATCGCTATTTTATTACAATACCCTATGATGAATGCAAGAAGAGAAGGAGGTATGTAGATTTATTTTCTTTAAAATGTGCATTTATTTGCAGATATTCATTATTTTATCAGGAGATCTGTATCTCCTGAAGACTAGTCATTCCCTCCTGTGTCAGGATCAATGTGAAGGAATTGAGCAGGATGTTTAGTACACATTTAATTGTCCAGTCCAGAGGCAATGTTGGGGTTGCAGAAAAAGGCCATAGATGGGACCATGTGGCCCTTATTTATAGCTGTCAGCAATAACCAGGCTAGGATTTGGGCAGAACTGTTGGGATAATGACCTTTTTTATAAAATCCTTTAAAGATTAAACAACCATCACTCTTGCCCAGGGGCAGGCTGACAACTCATGGGGCCCCCGGACAACAGGGGCACCATAGGGCCCTTTTTGTCCTTGCCCAAACTCAAAAAAGCCTATGAAAAAGGTATCGGGCATCTCATGGGGCCCCCTACTGACCCCGGGCCCTCGGGCAGTGCCAAAGTTTCCAAATGGTCAGTCCGCCCCTGCTCTTGCCTAATTGTGGTGTTTTAAAAGTACACTTCAAAGTCATCTTCTGTCTACACTTAGAATGCTAACATTGAGGACATCAAATACAAGGGAGCAAGTTCCATAGCAAGGAGCTCAGTGTTTTCTTTCCTATTTGCCAACATCCTTGACAAGCTGTGCTTAGTTTTAAAGTTTCGCAGTGAGGGGTTATAACCTCTGTCAGAAATTTTATTTTTTCATGTCCTTATTAGGGAGATTTACTTTGCACCATTTTGTCCTGGTGATTTGTTCTCACCTAGGGTGAAGGGATAATAACCTTTTGAGTTGTCAGCAAAACAGGATAGGATGATGAATCATCCAATGGGGTTGCTTGCCCCAGTGACACCTCTTCTGTTGCAAATTTCAAAATGAATATAGTTTAAAACTGATTTTTTTTTTTTTGTGTTTTTAATCTTTACTACAGGGGCATACAAAAAACTAAGTAGCAGCCAGAAGTTTTTACCACTTTCCTGCCACCCCATAGTAGAAGTACTTCTACAGAGCGGCAGGGCTGCGCAAAATCGCACGCGTATATACAAGCGAGTTGCATCTCCGGGTAGGAGGTGTGTGTGCCGCCTTGGCCGCGCTGCTATTGGCAGCTAGGGATGTCATTCACTGGGTCCCAGTAGGCGATTCCCAGCCAGCACTCACCGATCGTCAGGGAAAGCTGATTGGAGAGACACCTGTTTAAACACAGGTCTCTCTCCTGTAAGCATGGACACAGCAGAGAGATACAAAACAGCATGCCTCCATAGTAAAACACACAGCGCAGTTAACCCTTTGATCACCCCAGATGTTAACCCCTTTCTGCTCGGTATCATTAGTACAGTGTTGGTGCTTTTTTATTAGCACTGATCACTGTATTAGTGTCACTGGGGATGTCGGTGTCAGAATCCCCGCCTCAGTCCCGCTATAAGTTACTGATTGCCGCCATTACTAGTATAAAAAAAAATAAAATTCCAGTGTATATATACTGCCATTTGTAGACGCTATAACTTTCACGTAAACCAATTCAGTTACACGTATTAAAAAAAAAAAAAAACCCGCAGAGGTGATCAAATACCATAAAAAGCACCATTTGTGGGGGGGATAAAATGATAAATTTCATTTATGTACAGCATTGCATGACTGTGCAATTATCAGTTAAAGTAACACCTCTCATATGCAAAAAATGGCCTGGTCAGGAAGGGGTGGAAATGCTCTGGAGGGCGAGTGGTTAAGTACTTATAGTGGAGCTACAATCTGCTATACCTGCCAAAACTACCTTTCCACCAATGCAACATCTACACCCTGCCTTGCTGTCTGCTACCATTTTTGCCCAGCTTTACTGGTTAGGCAACCATGGTCATCTTGATTTGCTGGCCTGGGATAACATAACTACTGTCAGTCTGCCTGGTAGTTATTTCACTCCGGCACCCAAAAAATGACAAGATTGTACACTGAGCTGCATATGTTCTCATGCTTGGCCTGGCGTACTGTTAAAAAAAATATTTAGCAGGTAGCTGAGATGCCTTCATTGCAGCAGAGATATACAGTCTGTTCTGTAATAAAAGCCTGCCTGCTAGCAAATTCTGTTTCCTGCACACTATAGTCTCTGGGAAGCTTGACAAATTGATATACAGCTTCTTCTTTTCCGGATAGGCAATTCAAAAGGTGGAACAGTTTTTATACTGTTTTGGGTTGGGTAACCATAACAAACCAATTTATTGCCAATGTTTTTATTCCTTATTAAAATACATCAATCATACTACCAAATACAATTTTATTAATTTGCAAAAACAAATAGTTAAAAGGTTATATTTACAGAGGCGGAAACAAAACTTGTACTGCACCGTCACTCTTGTTGTCCCACATTAAGGTGAACATCTATACCATCTTACTGCTTGATGTCTGCTGAAGCTTAGTGACCGCAGCTGTGTAGGTGTTCAATGAGGAGGATGGAAGACTTTTGTCCTGTTCATTAACTATTACAAAGTGTTATACTGAAACATAATTTTTTCCATTTTATACTGATTTATAGGGTGGTTTTGTTTTATATATGGAGTTGCAAATATTAGAACGTGTCCATTACTTCTCATTTGGTATTCCATAAATACATGCTTGTGGTGTTCTAAACCTGTTCAGATGTAAACATTAACGGACAGGTATCTGGAGGCCACCAATGCATACTTAATTTTGTAATACCTATTTGCATGGCAATGATCCTCTAAAATCTGAATCTGCAGTTTGATTGTCCTATGTTGGTACATCAAACTAATGAATCTATTACATTGGCAGGATAACCACAAATCTGGCATTTTCTGATAGAGATTCTGGCCGCCTGTAACTTTCCTTGAAGTGGCCGTTTTTAGAATGTGTTTTTAGTTCTATTTGTACAGGGAGTTGTTATGGTAAAGTAAACCTGGCAACAGTACTGATCTGGGATTCTGTGGAAATAGCACAGTGATTCATGGCTTTGGCAGCTGAAGTGTTAATGGCAGCAAGCGGCGTTGTGTTCTATCACAGGAGACAGTTGTTCGCAGTGACAGGAGGGCGAGGCCCTGATCTGTCAGCAGTTTATAACCCCAGCTCTGCATACTGTGCTACTAGTCACCTCTGCAGGATTGTAATGCTGAATATTTTGATAAAGAACATATCGGCTCTTCACCAATGACTGGTGTATAGATATCTAATGTATTCAAGTAGAGTTGAGCTTTTTGCATTCATATAATCAGAGGTATACAACACTTGTGATAGCCCTTGTAAAGTCTGTTACTAAAACAAAAAAAATCTTATTGCATAGAGCAGCCCCAAACCACCTCTTCTGGGGTCCCCCCTGGTGCTCTCCATTCTGCCTTTGTGTGCACCACCATAGGAAGCTGCTTTCTATGGGGGCACATGTGCAGGCACACTCCTCAGGCTGTGTCTATAGACACAGTGCGGCTCAGACCTGCCCCATGCTCCCCCCTCACTGGGTTTGACTGACTGGCAGGATCCAGTGGCTCCCACTGCTTCTCGGCCAAACTTGAGAGCAGAGAGAGTGGAGAGATGTGCAGATGGACACGGTGCTAGATCAATTCAGGACTTGAATAAGTATGGGGGGGGGGGGGGGGGGGGGGGAGACAGCAACTGGAAGATTTTACCTTGATGCATAGAATGCATTAAGGTTGAAGAATCCTTTTCATGTTAGAACCACTTTTTAAGACTTTATTTCATTGGATATGAATAGCATAACCTGCATGCATTTTTATTTTCACATAAATTTCCTTCTCCTGAGCTTCCCTTTGAAACCTTCCCCACCAGACTGCAGTGCCACTTGTTTGTGCTGCTGGGACCTATGGACTCTGTAGGAGTCTATGTATGCACTTTTGCTTCCAGCTGTGACTGTACATGCATTCGCTCAGAGCACCGCACACTGGCAGCATGAGAGGGAGGGTCTCCATAGGTTGCAGGGGCACAAATATAACAGTAGTGTGGCAGCATGTCTGAGGGACAATTTCAAAGGAAGACATTTTAATAAAAACCTTTTGGCATTTTTTTTTTGTTTTTAGGAACTGATTTCTGAAATAGATGTAGTATCACGTTGAGGCTGCATTGCATGCCTCTTATACAAAACTCTGTAATTGGCCTTTATGCCTCGGGTGCTATTTGTTCATTAAACATTTTTTTAATGTATAAGGTATATCTTATGCTTCTACCAACCCACCACCCCCAATCATAATTTAACCCTTGCAATGCTGCAGGGGAATTGATGTAAGAATCTGTGGTTGGAAGGGGGGGGGGGCTTTTGTTTTTTTTATTTTTTTTTTTTTTTTCTTGCCCCTTCATGCTGTCAGGTCCTGCAAGGGGGCGGCTGGTAGCATTTGTAGTGAACAAATTAATAAAGTGGTTAACATTTGCACAGGAGTATGAATTTTTTTTTTGTCTTTTTTTTCAAGTAGGGAAATTTTCCCCACTGTTCCTAGGGGAAGGGCAAACATGATTCCATGGCCAATGTATGTGTTAGAGAGCAATACATTTATATGGCGGGAGAAAGTGTTTTTTTGTTTTTTTGTTTCTGCTGTCTTTTCACTTTTCTGGTTTTACAGATGTTCTCTGTACGCAGTGTACAACAGCTAGATCTTTGAACAAATTATCTTTATTCTTGCTAAGTCATTTCTTGTGATAATGAATACAGTATGGCTGAGTGCCTATCTCCAGACATTGTGTGTTAGAGTTGGAGTAGAACTCATGTTTCTCCTTATCGCTATAGGAACAGTTAAAGTGTCTGCTGTCAAAGGGCAAGCCAGGATTCACAAAGCTCCTATATCTTACAGAGCAGCCCCTGCCACTGACGTCAGTGCGCTCACCTCTCTGTACATTTGTCTGGCATTCACCGACGCAAAAATGCAGAGTTGTGTAATGAATCTTTTCAGGGTTGTGGTTTTGTTATGCTGGGATGAACTTAGTAGAAACCTTTACTGGTATCAAGGCTGCCACCTTTTTCTGTAAATATCAGTTTCTTGGTTTCAGCACCAGTACTTTTTGTTGAGACCTGGAACCTATGAGTATGCAGACTAGGAGTCTGGACATTCCTCATTGGCATACATATTCCTAGTCAAGATCAGCATCATAGGCAGAGTACTGGTATTTTCAACAATTGCGAGCTCCATCCTACTCTTCTAGGTGCTCCTGGCTCCAACCCAACCTCTCCTTGCTGAGTACCCCTGGACAAAGCCACCTGCTCTGGGGGCACGTTGTAGAAATGATAGAAGAAACAAAAATAAATGTGTGTAAAAAAAAAAAAAAAAAAAAAAAATTTTTTTATATATATAATTTATTTATTTTCGCACAAAACTGGAGGTAGTGCATGTCTGACCAAGAACCTGCAGAGGAAGTATCTCTAATGGAAAATTACATTTGACAAATGACTTCACTCCTGTGTAATCTGTTAATGTGTTTTGGAAAAAAAAAATACAAACTGCCTTCTCTTAACCAGCAAGTGTCCAAAATAGCAACGCTTTCAGGTCTGCTCTTTGTTTATTATGGTAACTTTACCCTCACTATATTTGATTGCCTGTCTGTTCAATATTGTGTCAACAGCTCCAGAAATTACACCGTTCCAGATCCACCAGGCCTTTTTGATGGCCATGTCTGGCCAATGTATGTGAAACACAAGAAGGTTATGGAAGACTTGAATGTTGGTGTGGGTAAGTGTTGTTCTGTGCTGTACATGAGTCCATACAAGCACCTTTTGCAGTTCATGTAATATAAATATTGCTTTTTTTTTTTTTTTTTAATAGAAAAACTTGATGGAACAAACACACGGGAAGAATTATTTAACAGAGTATATGGAGATGTGCTAAACCTGATAAATTGCAACGTAAGTGGCTGTGTTTTTTTTTTTTTTTTTTTTTTTTTCTTGGTATTTTTATTAATTTTAGATTCATATCTTTTAAAGTCTTATAATCCAGTATGCATTTATAGCCCTCCAATCCGAAAAAACAACCAGATGTGTATGTAGAGCATACACTGGGGTCTTGATTCCAGTCTTAGATTGAAAACCAATTGTTTTGGCAGGTTTAAATGAATTTTCTACATCCTATGAAATGTTTCTTTATACTTTTTATTCTGGAATCATGCTGTTACATACTCGTAGGCGTAAACCTAGTGTATTGAGAATTTGTGCTGAACTTCAATGATTGGGAGTCCAAGCACAATTCATTTTCCTACTGTTTGTGTGGTTATACCCTAGGACCTAGAGCACCTAATTGACCTGTGTGGATGAGAGCGAGAGAGATGTATATCTATTTCTCGATCTATATATCAGTTTATCAGTCCTGCTAATCTGTACAACTAATTTTACCTATGGCAACCTGTGAACATTTTGCAGAAATATTTTTAAAAATTATATTGGCTGCCCAACCTAGAGTATATGCTCAGAGGGCATTTTTAGAAGCGTTTTTTATAGCAAAACATTAGGAGGGAGAAAACACCAGGTGTCTGTTTTTTCGTTTTTTTGGTTTTGTTTTTTTTAGGGTTCCATGGGTTTTGTTTTTTTAAGTCAGTTTGTTTTAAACCCAAAAGCTGAGGTTTTAGTCCTCATGCACACTGGATGTTTTTTACAGTTGCTCCTTTTTTTTTTTTTTTTTTTTTTTTTTTTTTTTTTTTTTTTTCTTCTACGGCCAGTAAACGCCCCCAGCATGTTATCCTATGTGTCCATGCGCACATAGACTGTAATCCTCATTTTTTTTTTTTTTTTTTTTTTGGTTGTGAAAAAAACCCCCAGATCTAGTGGGTTTCCAGAGGAGTTTTTTTTAGCTGTAAAAACGCTCTAATGCTGTAAGTCATCGCTAACCAGCGGTTTTGGACCGAAATGCTTAATTCACGTTTTTAACATGACTTTACACAGCTAATGTTACCAGCGTTCTTAAATGCCCAGTGTGCATGGAGCCTTAAGTTGCTTTTACCAATTTTTTCTGTATTTGTTGATCTGTACAAAAAGCCATATTGCTTCCTGTGATTCTACTTCAAATCTGTTCAGTTACCTGATGTCCGGATTCATGTTCTAATTTCTGCCATCTTTTTGTTTACAGAGCTAAACTGCAATAAGAAGTGGCCTTACACCGGAGATGCATTACGGATTTTAATTTATTTGTGTTACACTCCCTCAATCAGGGTTTTGTCTTTTTTATTGAGAACCATTTTAGGAATACGTTTTTCAAACAAAGCACTCCACCAGAATAAACACTTCCATTTTAAAAATGGTTGTTTTTAATTACCTTCCACATCTTTTTAAGAAAGTTTTTATTATTTTTCTGGGATTCCAGTGCTTCCTGGTAAAGCTGCATGTGTTCTAAAGATTCATTATTACCTAGTAATGAAACAGGCCCGGCCAAACTAACCAAAGAGAAACTATATGCGTTTGTGTTATCCGCTCTACGCCATTATTCTTGGTGTGTGAACCTTGCTTTTGTCATTTGATGAAAGACTTCAGTACAATGGCAGCTCTAATTTATTTATACGTTTGATCAGAGTAACTGTGGCAGGGGAGCTTTATCAAGCACATTTTTGACCAGACCTGGCACTTAAGTGGTACATATTTGGCTTCCTCTCCTTCAGTAAAAGGATTTCCAACTGTTGTGTATACACAGATGCTACAATCTTGGGCAGTCACTTGCAAGGGTTTTGCAAAGTTAGGTGACAGATTTGCTTTATAGTTTTGTAACAGATATTCTACTAAAAGAAATTTGGTACTGTTGAGAAATATAAGGGCTTCCATTGCAGTCCACCTGAAAATGCTAGTCTTCTGGCTATCCTGGGCTACAATTTCAAACCATGAGATGCTGACCTGGTATGTGTATGCAAATTGTGGAAGTCAGAACTCCTAGGGAGACTTGGATAGCAGGAAATTTGACATTCACTGCAGGTGATTCTTCCTGGTGCATGGATTTTAAATGTTTGAATGTCACATTCATTGCTTTGTAACTATACCCCCAAATCTTTTGGATAAGTATGACAGCCAGTTAATTATTCAGAACACAGTTGCACTTCTCACTATGGGTTTCCTTTCAAAGAAAAAAATTTGATGTGTAGACAAAGTACCAGGAGTGGTATTTGCAGCATTACAAGGTGACCATAAAGGGAAAAGAAAACTAATGCAGCCACCACATTTAAGGACTGGTCAGCTGCAATATAGTCCTGTCCTTTTTTTTTAATTTTTATTTTTTTCATCTTCAGTGCACTTTAAATGGTCTAGGTGCCATTTTTATGTTGGCAGAATACTGCATTTGAGCCACAAAGGGGGTTTCAGGTTAAACAAGATGGTTTTATAGCAAGTAATCTTACTGCTTAAGTGCCACACTGTCCAAATATATAAATCTCCCCTACTGGCTTATGGTGCTCTCCTTGTGCCTTATGCTTGAGGTGTGGAAATTGGCTTGTCCACTGGATACTGAAAAGTGGAAGTTAAAGTGGACCACTATGAAGGGGATCTTCTTTCTGTGTCTCTATGGGGACTTTCCTCAAACTTTCTCTCAACATGTTGCATGAGCAGCAGACCATAAAGATATCTCCTTGACGGGACCTGACAGTAGCTCTTAGCTTTTCCTGCTCCATCCATTTCTTAAGAAGAAAATATTAACTGGAGCTAGGCTTTTATAAAACTCGCCATGTGGTTTCTGCTCTTAGTCAGATGAGCTTCTCTTGTGGCCCTGTGTAGTTTTTTACTTTTCTTGACTTCATGAACAAACTCTGGCAACTGACAGGTCCACTGGTCAGTGGCTGGATCTTTAAATCAAAGAAGGGCACAAAAGTGTGTGTTTTTTTTCTGACTTTTCTACAGGTAATAGTTGTACTCTAAAAGTCCTACCTAAGAACAATCTTGCCAAGTTTAGAATGGATTGCAGGTTCACTTTAAATGCCCATTTATTTGTTGTAGAAAAACAGTAAGATGTTACATTATTATAGTTTTATTTTTATTGGCCTTTTTTAATTTTATTTTTACACTAGCAAAGGCATGTTGAATATCAATCTTGCTTTTTGTAATTTATAAGAAACTTGCATGGCCATACTGGTTTTTTAATTTCTTTTGTGAATCTATCTTATTTTATTATTTATGCATGTGCATTGTGTGATGTGTATTAAAGTAAACAACTGTGAATATCAAAAATCCCTCAACGGATTGCATGTATCCATCTAATGTTGTTCAAAGGTGGAAGTTTTATGTGCCATGACTAGATAAAAGGCATAATCGTAAGCTCTAAATCTTGGGTACTAACATTCTCTAGAAGTTAGAGCCAGATAAAGTGTGTACAATGCTTATTTTTTTTATTTTATACAGAGTAGGGGAGGATTAAAACTTGTCGGTTTTTGCCATCCGGTTTTCATTTGGTAGAGTTTTCTTCACTTGCTGTCTTGTAGATTTACCAGGAATTGAGCATTTCTTTCCAGAGTGAAGGAAAGGCTCTTTGGGCTCTGTTGCGCAGGCAAATCCGATCAGGATTACCTGTCAGTTTTTCCAGCAGACCTGATTGGAAGGTCCTTCATTCCTATGGACTGGCAGGTGTAAAAGGACTTGTCTATTTCACCTGCCTACCTCCTGGATCTGATCAGGCCTGCTTAAAAAAAAAAAACAACAAAACTTGACAGTCAGATGTAAATGGACAGTGGGGTCTGTCCATGTCTGCTCTCTAAATTGAGCAGCTACAAGCCTCTCATCTGCCAATGTAGATCTTCTGCTGATTGGAAAGCCTGTGTGAAATGGCCCTTAGATAAACATTTCAAGGAATGTCCCCATTTGAACTTTTGTAGCTCAAAAGTCTGGATTTATGCTTGCATTCATTCCCAGTGCAATTGATGATCAGGAGAATTACAGGGAATTAATCTCCCTAATGTGTAGATAAGCAAGAAAAAAAAAAAATCTGACAGGTTTTAACCTTTTACCACTCTAAAAAATATATATTTTTTTAAATTAATGCCTTTAGTTCTATTCTCAAATCTTTAAAGAAGGCATTTACTTAGCCTCCCCCCACCTCTCCTGTGACCTAATCTACCCCACCCTCAACCTGTATGTTTGCATATTTACCATAATCCTGTGGCTGCAGCCTCAGAATGAACAGAGTAGTAATGCAGTTCGGGGTAGAGAGTGGTTTAAATCTGCTTGCATATGCAGAAATGACCCACTAAGCCGTATTAAACCCTAAAGCAATCATTTATTGTAGTGCAGTTTTTTTCCATTTCTTGGAGGTGATGGCTGCATTAGTTTTTTCTTTTATGCTTTCTCCTATTTTCATCTTGTGCTCCAGCCAGTAAGTCTACCTAGCATTGCTCAGTTTTGAAAGAAAGCAATACCAAGGGCCAGCAAATTAAAGGGCGTTGAACCTGTGTCTTCTAATGTACTCTAAGGGGAATAAAAAAAATGTAGTCAGTACAAAACTTGTATTTCCCTCTCCATCCTTTTGAAGCATACAAAACTTTAGAAACAATTGTGTCTAAAAGCACAACAGCTACAGACAGAAATAAGAAATTGGAAACTCTCATCAGTTCAGAATTTCCTGCAGGACCAATACCTGAATCGGTAAGTGAAGGAACTACCATGACCACAGGATTAACCTAGTGCTCCAGGACAGAAGAGCTCACCACCAAGAGGAATGACTCTCTACAAAGAACAGTAAGCCTCAACCAGCAAGAGGCTGTAAGAACCTACAATCCACCAACACACATTAAACATACTTACCTGAGAGCGTTGGTATAGTCCACCATGCATAACATGGGCAAAATAGAAAGAAGCCTTGTACAAATAAAACATCCATAAGGGAGGACTAGGCAGTTGACAGGAGGCCTGACTGGTAATACCTTACTCTTGAGGTGCTGGGAAAGGGGCTTCAATGCCAAAAATACCACAACATACTCATGGGGTGTGAGAGCCATACTGCTTAAATATCCCAAAGTGATAGCTAAATGACCTCTGAGATGGGTAGAAAACACAAGAGCCTGAAGTCTAACCTGCCTGAGGAAGAGAGAAGGGTGAGCAAAAGGTAGACAGGGATGAGGTTATACTGATACACCAGGCTGGTACAAGTGAACACTAGCAGGACAAGCAGGAACCCATTCATGTTAACATCCCAGGGCACACTTGCAGCAGGATCCCAGTGTGTGCTGCCAGCACGGAGCCATCCAACAATGGATGCTTTCTGTCATACAAGAGACGAGCACCCAGGCGCCAAACTCTCCCTCTTTAGTGTGGAGAGTACTAGCTGATCCAGATGGTGATGCATTGTCTCTAAAGACAGTGCAATCAGAAGTAGAATAACCAGGCCAAGGCTACTTGTGTCATAGGGAGAACTTTCAAATCTTCCTGTAGCTGAAGGTCTTGCAATACCTAAGTGATGTCCAACTGCAATAAGATTAGGAAATAGACTGGCATCAGTGGGATCTCCTGACTGTCTGTTCTAGGAAACCAGACTGAAGCCCCATCCCAGCAAATGTAGTCCTGCAAGTGGGGGTGGGTATAAACCACCTCATTCACCATCTGGATGTCTGATTCTAAGCCTTCAAACAGAGGGAAACACAAAGTCAACAAGCAAAGAAAAGACTGTTAGGAAGCTATTCCCTCAAAACCCTACAAGTCCTAAAAGGTAAAGTAAGGGAAAATTCACTGATGGGTAAGGAAGGGATCAATGACCTATGGGAAGTAAAACATCTTTAAGGAGAACAGCCTCACATTACCATTGCTATATAGTTGTGAAATCTTGTCAAAGCTTGCAGGTGTTTGGCCAATCAGAAGGGTTTGGCAGCAGGAGTCTTAAAAGCTGATGCTCTCGGAGCCAGTGGTTGAGGGATCCTGCTTCAGGGAATCTATGTATTCAGACCGTTTGACGAGTGAAAATTACCTCCAACACAGGATGGAGAACCAAACTAAAATTGTAGGAGGGATTCTGTCAGTGAAACCCTGAAAGATGAACATGCCTTCAACATGCTTAGTGGTGTTCCTGTTCTGGTGGATCACTGGTGCACCTACAGTAGGAACAGAACACCTATTTATGAATTCTCGTCATGGGGAAAGTTCCAACACACTATCTGGTAAGGCCTAATATCTTTAAATGGTTCCTTTCCTCTTCGATGAATGGCCCACATAGTGGGTGTAGGGGAAAAGTGTTGGCAGCTGTTAGAGCCCTAAAAGACTCAAGGGCTGGAAGGCTGATTTTCTAGATGCAGGTTACCATAAACAACATTGACAAGGTTTGAAACAAACTTGCAAATCTAAATCAACAGCAGGCAACTGGTTTATAAAAAACACCTTCCCCAGAGAGGGCCTATTGGGACTCTGAATCAGTGATGGTAATATCACAGTTTTATATAAGGGCTCAGGAGCATCAGACACAGACTTTGAAGGGAGTCTGTGGGCAGAATGCCTTACCATCTGAGCACAAGCAACTTGGAAGTCTAGTGTTATATTAGAGGTCCCTCTGGGCATGAGGGAGAGCTTGGCCTTACCGGATGGAGAAGATGAAGACTCTGATGATAACCCTATGACAATAGGGGGCCCAAGTTCTGTATTACAGGAATATGTTCCTTCAGGGCATACCAAGTAACTACACCCAGAACCACTAGGGGAGTATGGGCTGATGTCACTTGTGGCAGCAGACTGTCCTTTGTGTATTTTAGCAAAGCCATGTTCCATCTGCATGAGCAGAAATGCAATCGGGCATACTGTGAGGCAAGGCCTCATGTACTCACAATCCAGGCAGCTGGTACTGATGAGGGCATGTCAGGAAAGAAGCTGTGCATATGTGGAACACTCCACCCAGTGCCTCAATCTTTTCCGTCCAGTGGTGCAAACAGTGAGCTGCTTCAACCTACAGACCCGACTCACTTCAGAGTCTTCAGAGACAGGGTCACAAATGAGGCAGAGCCATAGGTGTGGACCTGAAGAGCACTCCATAGCTAACCCAACAGCGCACTAAGGTCTGTAAAATACCACAATGCAGAACTCACTGTCCGAGGTCACATTTCACAATAACCATTGCAAGGTCTGGCTACAGCCTCCAAAGCCAGTGGTGAAAAAATTCCAATTCTGGATAACTGCTATGCTGAAACCAGTTATGTAGTAACAAATCTCTGCTGACGTCATCCAAGGAACAAAATTCCATGAGAAGAGGGCTAGAACAAAAACAGGCTGATTTTCAGCATAAATGACATCCCAACTCCTGAGGAAAGAAAAAACTGGGGCATGCTGGGTAGAGAAGGTTTTAGAGGGGCCGGTTTTCAATTGTTCTGTTTGCCAGTGTCCCAACCTACTGTAGGCAGCAGCATAATGTAGGTGCTTCTACACAGCCCCTACATTACACAGTAGGTGCTTCTACACACATAAACAGTCAGATGATACTATGGTGGTGTGAACACGGCACAAGAACAATTGTTTTCTTTGTGCTCTTGCAGAACGCATGCAGAAAAATTCATGTCTCCACACCATGGGGTGAACTAGGCCTAACTGGTGTAGAAAGAGCTGACACAGGTTGAGAAAGGTCCCAGCAGCTACACTGATAGGTGTTTCTTTCCCTGAGGAAGGACTCTATCGTAAAAGGTCCACCCTAGGTCCTGAAACTGGTTAATAAATACATACATAGTTACATTGTATGGAAATCTTTTGTGACAATCTGGCATTCAGCTTTACGTCTTGTGTCCCAGTTATGGAGATAGAAGTTGTGTTTTGGCTCAATTCCCCCAGCAGCCATAAACTATACTTGTGCTGGGATCCATCTAATTCTGGGACAAGCTGTGGAAGCTATGCTAGGAATCCATTGTGTTTGTGTGCAGCATGTTTTATTACCATGAGGGTTTAATGATAGGACTACAATCAGAAAATCCTTCAGCATGACGTTGAACATAGGATGAAATTTCTCCTTAGGGAAAGGTTAGAAAGTTCATTGATATTTCAGACACTTCCTATCCCTTTTGCTCAACAGGACCCAAGTCTTTGTAGTGCTGTTTGTGTTACTATTAGGGTTAAGATTTCCCCTAACTTTTATCCTGATGCAAGTTACCAGGATAGGAAGTGAGAGCAAATATGTCCATGGGTAACAGCGGTTAGTACAGTAGGGAATGACTGTGACATCAGCAAAGTTTTTACTGTTGCCTTTGTCCATGTTTATGTTGGAGATGGGAGGTCAGGACAAACCGTAACTATGGTAATGCAGACAGCAATGAAGAGACCTTTGTGGAAGGGTTAGAACTCCAGTCATGCTTTTACTTCCTGCCATGTCTGCCACTAGCATATTCTGGTATGATTCCGAAAGTCTAAACCTACCCCAGCTACAGTACTTAAACCAAACATCTATGCAAATGGCATAATATATAAAAATGGCCAGAATAATATGATGGTTTATCTGCTTGAAAAGGAATGCTGGCATTGGACCGAGGAGGAAGCCGGGAGGAGTGGTGATAAATTAAAAAAAAATATGTAACTGGCATATCATTCACACGGGTATATTGAGCCACATAACTATGATACTTGAATTAAATTCAATTAAAACCATCGGTGGTCCTGGCTCCTCCCCCCTGCCGAGTGTACCCAATAGCAAGCCTCTTCTTGCTATGGGGGCACTCAAGCAGACTCACTCCCGAGCTGCGCTCCTGTAAATGCACATTGTCCATCGCCCCCCCCATTGGTTCACTAGCTGTGATTGACAGCAGCAGGAGCCGATGGCTCTCAATGCTGTGTGAACCAATGAGGAGAGAGAGAGAACTTTGGCTCTTATGCGCATCGCTGGAGCAAGATGGGGCTCATGTAGGTATTAGGGAGGCTGAGGGGGAAGCTGCACGCAGGTTTTTTACCTTAATGCACTGAATGCAGTAAAGTGATATAAGGCAATGTTTTTTTTTTTTTTAATAACAAACATGTTGTACTTACCTGCTCTGTTTTGCAGAGAGCAGCCCCAATCCTCCTTATCTCAGGTCCCCCGCTGGTGTTCCTTGCCCCTGCCGCGTGCCCCCAGAACAAGCAGGCTCGCTCCCAAGTCACTGCTCTCCATATCCATTCACAGACAGCTGCAGTCCGTCCCCCCCCTCTCTCTCCTCATTGACTCACTGGATGTGATTGACAGCAACGGGAGCCAATGCAGCGTGAGGCCACTTTAGGTATGTCAGCAACTAACCTAAGAGATCACAGGGGTGGATTTAATAAAGGCAAATAGGCAAAGGCACATTGCAAGTGCAGTTCAACTCCTCTTCCCCAGAGCTTAGTTCATGTGAAGTTATACAGATTTCCATTGACAATCGTGTGCAAGCAAAAATGCAGATTTTTTATTTTCCTTGCACATGACTGAATATTCCTTACAAAGTGAAGCTTCAACATATTAACTAAGCTCTAGAGAAAATGAATGCAGTCTCTTTGCCCTTAGTAAATCCCCCCCTCCCCCAATTATACCACAAACACGAGAACATTGGACCAATGATTAAATCACTTTCTTTTGTGAGGTCCCTAGCACAAAAACAGGACATACAACTCTGTCCCTAATGTTCTGGCAAATAAGATAATCAGTTTTTCTATATATGACACAAGCAATCAATAACAACACTATATTTAAGGCCTTTATCAATGTAGAAAGATTTCTGTAACAAAAATACACAATTTATCTGTAGATTGATGACATATCTCAAATAGAGAATGGCAGTTTGTTTTGTCAAAGCATGAGTCCGCTGACATGAATGTTTCTGGATGTGATGCAAATCTGAACAGCATGGTGTGTTTACACATGAATTAATCCAAACTCCTGTAAACTTTTAGTAGACGGTCTTTTCTTACACCAGCAAGCATTTTAGTAGATTGTATGGCTTATGATGTGACAGTGATTGTATTGTTCACATTATTTCATCCCAAGATGCATTATCTTCCTGAAGGGGGCTGGACCTCCCCAGTATCCCCTGTAAAGAGACCAGAGACATATTTTATAGGTCATAAAAACAGAAACAGAAAAGTGACAGGAAAAAAAAAGACCAAGTAGCCCATCATGTCTGCCCCATTGTTTGAGTTATATATGATTTTTAAAAAAAGTTTGTCCGAGTATAGAGCTATGTTTGTCCCAAGCATGTTTGAATCCACTTACTGTTGACGGACTCACTACCTCTGCTGGAAGTCTGTTCCAAGCATCAATTACTCTTAGTAAAATAAGATAACAGGAGGAAAGTTCAAAACTACCCTTACAAAGTATTGTTTACTCATCTCATCAGCACAAAATTGAAGTGGAAATGTACAGTTTATTGTAAAATCAGCCCCAGCTTACTCACCTCTATGGCACCTGTGTCTCCTATGTACCCCTCCAATCCAATGCTCTGTAAGGCAATACAGCATTCTGCACTCCCGGTACGGTCTGATTCCTGTGTATCCTGCCACAGACAGACACACTCCTCTAGCCAGTCACTGAAAGCGAAGGTTTGGGAAACGGCAGCGATGACAGGCATTGTATGCCACACCCCCAATGTACGGTGATTGGCAAGCTTGTTGCCCAAGTGGCTAGGGATTAGTTTGCAGTGTTCTTAGGTGGCCAATGGGTATAAATATTGCAAATGTTAGCTAGTACAGTGCCTTCTCGTACAGCCTACCTGACGCTGCACCTAAAGACAGCCCTTGTGGGGCCCAGGCCCGGTCTCCTCTGCTGGGGCTTAGTTCTAGTAAAGCGGGACTGCCTGTAGCCCCCATCAGTGGCCCCACAAAACAGTATCCCAATTAAACGGATATTCCTGTTCCACAGAGGTTAAGGTGGTATTAAACATAAAACCAAAAATTTAATATATTGTAGCTTACCAATCAAAAGTGGTAGGTGAATTAACTTTCGTTTTAGACTATCTTCCCTCTATTTTCACCTGGTGATCTGTCTAATACAAGAGGTGCGTTACTGGAGTGTCCTCACTCTGGATGAAGGAGCATAGGGGGCACCTTTGGACAGTCGCATTAATTGGGGATGGGGGTAATGTTGGATGTGCTAGCAGATTTTGATGCACTAACAAATTAAACGTGAATTCCAGCTAACACTTTGGAAGCAGTTACAGCAATTGTTTTTTTCCTTTTGGGATAAAGGTTTTACATAAATGAATAAAAGCTCATCATTGTAAGCACCCTTGTCTGTTGTAAATGGTTTGTCTCAACGCTATAACTGCAACATCTGCAAAACAGCTTGTTCTGTTGAAAAACAAAATAAACCTATTGGCCAAATCACCAGGTGAAAATAAATAAAAAAAAACTACTGCAGCCATCACATCTAGGAATTGGTAAACTGCAATATATTTAAAGCCGTATTAATTCAAGAGCAGACATTAATCATTCACTTAGCCCTGAAAGATGATATTTGCACTGCTCAAAAAAATTAAAAGAACACTTTTTAAATCATACTATAGCATCAAGTCAATGAAACTCCTGGGATATTGATCTGGTCAGTTAAGTAGCAGAGGAGGTTGTTAATCAGTTTCAGCTGCTTTGGTGTTAATGAAATTACCAGGTATACTAGATAGGCAACAATGAGAATCCCCAAAACAGAAATGGTTTTACAGGTGGAGGCAACTGACATTTTTCCCTACTCATCTTTTCTGATGGTCTATCACTAGTATTGCATTTGGCTAGGGTCAATGTCATTACTGGTAGCATGAGGCGATACCTGAACCCTACAGAGGTTGCACAGGCAGTCCAACTCCTCCAGGATGGCACATCAATACGTGACATTGCCAGAAGGTTTGCTGTGTCTCCCAGCACAGTCTCAAGAACATGGAGGAGATTCCAGGAGACAGGCAGTTACTCTAGGAGAGCTGGACAGGGCCGTAGAAGGTCCTTAATCCATCAGCAGGACCGGTGTCTGCTCCTTTGTGCAAGGAGGAACAGAATGAGCACTTCCAGAGCCCTACAAAATGACCTCCAGCAGGCCACTGGTGTGAATGTCTCTGAACAAACAATCAGAAACAGACTTCATGAGGGTGACCTGAGGGTCCGACATCCTCTAGTGGGCCCTGTGCTCACTGCTCGGCACCATAAAGCTTGATTGGCATTTGCCATTGAACACCAGAATTGGCAGGTCCGCCACTGAGGACCCTGTGCTTTTCACAGATGAGAGCAGGTTCACCCTGAGCACATGAAAGGGTCTGGAGAAGCCGTGGAGAATGTTATGCTGCCTGTAACATCATTCAGCATGACCGTTTTTTGTTGGTGGGTCAGTGATTGTCTGGGGAGGCATATCCATGGAGGGACGCACAGACCTCTACAGGCTACACAATGGCAGCTCGCCTGACCTAAATCCAATAGAGCACCTCTGGGATATCATATTTCCGTCCATCCGACGCTACCAGGTTGCTCCTCAGACTGTCCAGGAGCTCAGTAATGCCCTGGTCCAGATCTGGGAGTAGATACCCCAGAACACCATCCATCATCTCATTAAGAGCATGCCCCGACATTTTCAGACATGCATACAAGCACGTGGGGGCCATACAAACTACTGAGTACCATTTTGAGTTGCTGCAATGAAATTTCAGCAAAGTGGACTAGTCTGCTGCATCATTTTTTCACTTTGATTTTTGGTGTGTCTTTGAATTCATTCTTCTGTAGGTTGAGAATTTTCATTTCCATCAAATGATGGGGCATCCTTATGTTCCTAACACATTACCCAGTCCACATCAGTATAGATATCCATCATGATATTTTTCCCCATTGAGATGTGATGTGTTTTCAAAATGTTCTTTTAATGTTTTTGAGCAGTGTATATATATTGACAAATATTCCACCTGCTGTGACACAAAGGACCCCAGGGTGAACTACATAACATAATCTGCCTGTTCCTTGGCCTTATGTTGGAATACTCGAAGAATAAGACACTATGCTCCCCCTAGACGACCATATTGTTAAAAATACACAATAAATCAGAGAGCTTCAAACTGAAATGTAACGTGAAATATTCCTTGATCAAAGGTGTGTACCACATATATATCCCCATGACAGCTATGGTTTGCTTCTCATTTCCTGGTTTTTCAAAATTACATTCTGCTTCTCTTGGGTTATTGGATCTCTGTTTTGGCAAAATTGGACCCAAACCATCAGTAGTTGGTATAAATGATGCCTAACCTAGCAAGTCAAAGTTTTTAGTTTTTTTTTTTTGCTAGGTAGTAAACTCCCCTAACAAAATTTTTAAAAATCACCCCCTGGCAGACTTCTCTGCCAAGCAGAGACCTTCAGTATCCTCCTCTGTCTCCGCTCCTGGTTCTTTCATCTTCGCCTGGGTTCACGCTGTCTGCTGTTTAAAGGGCTGGGTGACAATTATGTCATTCCCATATGTGCACAGAAGTCACAATTGCAGCATGGCTCTCTCTCTGCATTGACGGCACTCTCACTGTGCCCTAAATACAGAGCACGCTGCACGTGCGCAGTGACATAATCGGCTACTGCTGATGTGAATTTCTCTGGTGCTGGTGTAAGAAACATTCACTGTACCTATAGGTAAGCCTTAGAACAAGCCGACCTCAATGCACTGTTTAATTGGGCAACTATGTGGCAAATGGGGTTTAATGTTGATAAATGTAAGGTGATGCACTTGGGGGCTAAGAATATGCATGCATCATACATACTAGGGGGGGTACAACTGGGGGAATCAATGGTGGAGAAGGATCTGGGGGTTCTGATAGATCACAAGCTTAATAATGGCATGCAATGCCAAGCTGCGGTTTTTAAAGCGAGCAAAATCCTCTCTTGTATTAAAAGAGATATAGACTCCAGAGAGAGAGATATCATATTACCCCGGTACAAATCATTAGTAAGACCTCATCTGGAATATGCAGTTCAGTTTTGGGCACCAATTCACAAAAAGAACATTGGGGAACTGGAGAAAGTACAGAGAAGGGCAACCAAACTGATAAGAGGCATGGAGGAGCTCAGCTATGAGAAAAGATTAGAGGAACTGAATTTATTTTCTCTTGAGAAGAGGAGATTAAGGGGGGATATGATCAACATGTATAAATACATCAGTGGTTCATATAGTGAACTCGGTGTAGAGTTATTCACCCTGAGGTCATCACAGAGGACAAGGGAGCACTCTTAACGTCTGGAGGAAAAGAAATTTAATCTCCAAACACAGAAAGGATTCTTCACAGTGAGAGCTGTGAAAATGTAGAATAGACTCCCTCAAGAATTGGTTCTGGCCAGCTCAGTGGATTGCTTTAAAAAAAGGCCTGGATTCTTTTCTAGATACACAGAACATAACTGGATACTAACATTTATAGGTAAAGTTGATCCAGGGAATATCCGATTACCTCTCCGGGATCAGGAAGGATTTTTTTTTCCTGCAGGAGCAAATTGGATCATGCTTTGCTGGGTTTTTTTTTTTTTTTGCCTTCCTCTGGATCAACTGTGGGTATAGGATGATAACTTTTTTTTTTTAATGGTTGAACTGGATGGACTTTTGTCTTTTTTCAGCCAGACTAATTATATAACTATGTAGGTACAGGTGATTTTATTATCACTTTACCTAATAAGAGGTGCGCAGTACCTGCAGATAATTTCTTATGGTTTTCTTCAAGCTGTTTGACAAATAAATTGCACATGAAAAAAAAAACGGTCCTATAAAGACATCCGAATCTTGAATAGAACTTACGTAAGAAGTAAATTCCAGTACAGGAATGGCATCATGTCTGCTTTCATACGGTACATGGACCATCTCTCTTTGCCCTGGTCGATGGGGAAGGTCTCTAGTGGTTGCTGGTTGTAGTCAAACTCTGCCAGGATCACTTTGTTGTAGCCTGTCACCAGGGGACATGAAGTGTACCCATCATACTGCAAACAATGAAGAAAATTAGGATTCATTAAACATGAAATATACTCCTCATCTATGTAGAGATTTGTTTTAGTTCATGGTTGAAGGAAGCATAACGGTTTCCAATATAATCATTTCAATATATCCATCAAACACTGAAAATTCTCCATACTACCATTTTTGGCCTAGCTGGGTTTTTTTTAAATCTAAACATCCCCAATTACTGTAATTTTCTTTTCTTCATGAAGGTACAGCAGACTTAGACCTTAGGTTTAGAAAGTAAAAAACTCTGCATTCAGCTAAATGTTCTTTTTTTTCTAAAGTAATACAAATAAAATTACACATGTAATAAGAATGGTTTAAATGTTCAGTCTGTAAAGATGCACTAAAAGCAAAAACTTCTTTTTCCCCATTTTGAATAGAGTATGGGAAGATTATAATCCCTTTGCGCCATCTGTGTCCCATAAGGGAGCGTTTCCTTCACTTCCTGTCCCAGAGCCAAAACAGGAAATGAGAGAAAATCCCTGCAAATTAGGGGGATTCTTTGGGTCCTCCCATGTCACTAGAGCTAGTGTCCCCATTGGAAGATTTCCCTTCTTTTACTTTTCTGGGGACAACCCAAAATTTGGGATTTTCTTTAACTTTCAACGAGAACAGTAAAAACCAAGTAGTTGCTCTAAACCAGCAATGGGCAAACTACGGCCCGCGGGCCGTATACGCCCGGCGGACCTTTTAATCCGGCCCGCGGAGCGTGGCAAACATTGCCTGTCAGGATGTGTGTAGGCGGGGCAGCGTGAGGCGGGGCAGCAGGGGAGCTAGGCTCCTCTCACAGTCCGCCTGAAGACCGGAAAGGCGCGGGAACACGGTGAGAGGAACACGCGCAGAGCAAAGGTAAGTGAATTGACACAATATGGGGAATGAATTACTATAGGGGGGATGAATTACTATGGGGGATGAATTACTATGGGGAATGAATTACTATGGGGGATGAATTACTATATGGGGGATGAATTACTATAGGGGGGATGAATTACTATAGGGGGGATGAATTACTATATGGGGGATAATTACTATGGGGGAATATTACTATACTTACTATGGATGACACATACACATCATTCATCTACTCTTGGTCCGGCCCCCGGGTCCAATATATGAACCCATTGCGGCCCTCAAGTCAAAAAGTTTGCCCACCCCTGTTCTAAACCCTCTTCTCTCTAACTAAAAGGCTAAACTTTTTTTATGTTAGTTTAGGATATACTTTGTCATACTGAAAAAAAAAAAAAAAAAAAAAAAAAAAAGTTTATAGGTCAGGTCAGCACATTTTAAAATCAGCAAAAAAAATCCAAGCACCTTTACTAATCACCCTACTGGCACAGGGAGTACAATAATGATGTCCCTGAAGCGTTATACCATGATATACCAACAAGTCACCTACTAATGTCTAATGCTAAAGATTAAAGGAACCATGCTAAAGAAAAAAAGATGTCAGAAGGGGAATGCAGATAGGGCCATCCATGGAGTGAATTTCATCCAGTCTTTGGATTTCAGCAGAAAATTAGCTCCTTGTATCGCCTCCAGTCACCCCAAGTTCCCTTCAACCCCCTAGTGTATGTTTCTTTGAAGGACTAGAAGATCTAGCAGGCACATACCAAATGTGCTTGATCTTTAGTCCTTCAAAGAAACATACACTAGGGGGTTGAAGGAAACTCGGGGTTCTAAGTCTCTGATTTTTATATTATTTTTGTATTATTTTTAGGGTTTTTGGCTTTAACTTGTATGGCTGAAAAAGGCCAAGCTCTGCTGGGCAGTTCAGGTACAATGTTTTGTACTTTTCTATGCAAAATATATCCAAAAGAATAGAAAAAAAAAGTCCACTAAGATTATGGGTTGACTCCTGGCTAATGTACTTTTCCAATGCATGCTCCCATGTTGGAAAATTTATTTTTACCAAACTTTGTCTTTAGAGACAATGAATATCACTTTCATGCATTACCATCCCCTGCTTCCATATTTTGTTATATATTGTTATACAGGATTTATATAGCGCCAACAGTTTGCGCAGCGCTTTACAAAATGAAGGTAGACGTTACAGTTACAATACAATTTGGAACAAGAGGAAACAGAGGCCCTGCTCATCAGAGCTTACAATCTAGAGGAAGGGTTGAGCGATACAAAAGGTAATAGCTGTGAGGGGGGATGAGCTCATGGAGGAAATAAAATGGTGGTTTACTATGTAGAAGCAGGATAGACTTCTATCCACCTTTAGACAATCCCTGAAAACCTTTCTCTTTATAGATTAGGAGACAGGCGGACATATTGGGGTAGGGAGTTCCATAGGATGGGAGAAGCTCAGGAGAAGTCCTTGAGGCGAGCATGGGAGGAGATGACATGGGAACTAGAGAGCAGAAGGTCTTGGGAGGATCGAAGAGAGTGGTTTGGTTGATATTGTGAGACCAGGTTAGTGATCTATTAAAATCAGACTTAAAGTAGAAGTCTGGTCTGAGCTTAAACCTGCTGTCACCCCACCTTCGAATACCTATACTAACTACCCTGTAAAGGAAAGATGCTTATTTTTACCTAATCTAAGGGCGCTCTGATCCAGGCACATGATTGGCTTCCAGCACCCACTTCAAGGGAGAGAAGAGACAGTCACCAATAGAAAGTAAGTCTTTTGGTGACGTCACTGCCCAGGCTCTGCAGCCGTTGTCACGAATCTCTCCTCTCCCCTAACCCGAGCTGGGGAGATCATGTGACCAGACTGGAGCGCCCTCAGAATACATAAGTATACACATCATTTCTTTACAGGGTAGTTAGCATAGGGCTTAGAATGGGGTGGGAGCAGGTTTAGCTTGGATAGGTTTAGAACAGACTTTAAACAAGTAACTATGTGTAAAATAAAAACAATTACATATGATTGATGCAGTCTGTCTTCATTAGCACAGCAGTTTTTGTTTATCTGTGCCCCCCATAACAGTTTTATTTCCAGTTGATTCTACCAGTATATGTTTTTTTTTTGTTTTAGTTTCTTTACACAGGTCAAACTGTCCAGTAGGAGATTTAGGTCCCAACCCCACTATCCCGCCTCTTCCTCTACTAGTCCCTATCCTTCTTTACCCCCAGACTCTCAAAACCTGAGCCTGTTTGAGCCTACGGGGGAAGGAGATGAGCCACTTTTCAATGGGGATTTTTGAATGCAGCCCTTTAAATGGATGTCACATATATGTATATTACTTACTTTGGCAGAGGACTTTTGATTTTTCATAACCAAGGAAATCGTTCTGGCCAGCACCGCTGTCTGGGCAGCTAAATCCAAACACAACACAAATGTAATTAGAACCTTCTCATAGATTCAGTACAAGATACCTTATAACCAACAAAATAATAGAAGCTCCTGTGCAATGATTCTGGTTTGCTCTTATTTTCTGTTATAGATGTAAAAATATTAAAACTGATTTCCTTTGCCCTAATTTTTTTAATAAATGCCACAGACTAGGGATGTCCACTCAGAGGGGCCCTCTTGACGCCTGCAATGTCCCAGCTACAACCTATGAAGATTTGCAGGAGGTGCAGAGTGTCAAAAAACCTTCTGTGTTCCAGCAATAGGCACATGAATGACACTGGCACTACCTGTTGGCTGGAATGATCTATCTCACTATGGAGTACAGAACCAGTCCAACATCATTGGGAAGAGAGGAAGCAGCACAGGAGAGTGCTCAGGTAAGTAACCACTGATCACCAATGTAGGGGTAGTGTGGGTTTGCTACAAATGAACACCGATTAATGAGAGGTTTGTTATTGCTGCCACTGACACCAATGCTGAAGGTTATTATTGCTGACACTGACACCAATGCTGAAGGTTATTAGAGCTGCCACTGACACCAATGCTGAAGGTTATTACCAATGCTGACACTGACTGACACCAATGCTGAAGGTTAGTAGAGCTGCCACTGACACCAATGCTGAAGGTTATTAGAGCTGCCAATGACACCAATGCTGAAGGTTATTAGTGGCAGCAATAATAACCTTCAGCAATGATGTCAGTGGCAGCAATAATAATCTTCAGTACTGGTGTCAGTGGCAGCAATAATATCCTTCAGCATTGGTGTCCGTGGCAGCAATAATAATCTTCTGTACTGGTGTCAGTGGCAGCAATAATAACCTTCAGCATTGATGTCAGTGGCAGCTCTGACACCAGTACAGAAGATTATTATTGCTGCCACGGACACCAATGCTGAAGGTTATTATTGCTGCCACTGATACCAATGCTGAAGGTTATTATTGCTGCCACTGATACCAATGCTGAAGGTTATTATTGCTGCCACTGACACCAATGCTGAAGTTATTAGTGGCAGCAATAATAATCTTCAGCATTGATGTCAGTGGCAGCTCTGACACTAGTACTGAAGGTTATTATTGCTGCCACTGACAACAGTACAGAAGATTATTATTGCTGCCACGGACACCAATGCTGAAGGTTATTATTGCTGTCACTGACACCAATCAAGTGTAGGTTTATTATTGATAGCTCTGCTCTGAGCTCAATGCAACTTCTCCTTGTATGGCCATATTTGTGGCAGCACATTGCTTCCATACAGGCTGGTGTAAAAGGGTATACATTGGCAGTATACAGTTAGAAAAAGGGCCCCTGAGGACTGATCTCCCTGAAAGGTGTTATTCCTATTATATGCATCTTGTTTCATGGTTTTACTACGATACCAATGGCCATTGATATTTTTACTGGAAATTGTATCTAAAAAAATAAACCACAACACTGTATGGAACACTGTATTTGCCTTTACATGGGTTTTCATAGATGGCTTGCTCTTTATCTGGCTGCCAAATTACTTTATGGTAAAAGCTTTTTGGAAACATTTCATAGGCACAATGAGCAAACATGCATGCTTCTACCCATGTAGAGGGGACATTATACAGACATCACTGGAGCCAGTCAACTATCCATACTGTACACTATGGGGCATATGTGGGGGTATGCTTCTGAGCTGGGATGTGTGAATCCATAGACAAACACAGTGAGGCTTGGACCAGTGTCCGCTCCCTTGTCATAGGATTTGACTGATGGCAGCAGAAGCCATTGGCTCCCGCTGCTGTTTGAGTCCCTGTGAGAAGAGGGAGAGAGACCAGCACTGCTGCAGATGAGCACAGCGCTGGATTGAGAAAGGTCAGTCGGTTGACTGAAAAAACAAAAAAACAAAACTCGTGTGATTCCCCCCCATCCACACATTCGATGTGGATGAGGGAATCCTCCCTGCTGACCTACTGTATTATGACAGCAGGGAGACTTCCCCACAGACAGAATACACTGATCAGTGCTGGCAGCTATAGCCTGCAGAGCAGATCGAGCAGAGAAAATCCAACAAGGTAGTTGTACAGAAGTCAATTGCTAGATCGACCTCTGTGCCTATACATGGATCGAAATTCATCCGCTCCCTGCTGAACAATGATCTATGTATGGACGTTTTTGTGGGGTGTGGAAGAACAGCTAGTGAATGTTTTTGTACCTTAATGCAAAGGAAGCATGAAGGCAAAAAAAAAACCCCCAAAAAACGCAGCACACCTTTTTGTGTTTAGATTATTGAATGTATGAGAATGAAAAGGTTTTTCTTTACGATTCAGTGTTTCTAAAGATTAGAGCATGTAAACATACAGATACACAATATCTATTTCAGGAAATCCCATTAACCATCTGATGCATGAATTCCATAGGACACATTTCACTCATAATATTTCTTTTATATATACACTATACATACAGTATATAGGCCAATTAGATCAGGAAGAAAACATACGGTTTTGGACCTTGAAACTCTAACATCAAATGTTTATAATGGTCTGGATATTCTGAGTATGAGATCTTTATATCGGATAGGTCTTGTATGAAGTGTTAAGGTGTTAAAAGTGCTCCCACTCTTCCATGAAGTGAATGAAGGTCGAATGTTCTCCAAAGCAAAGCAAAGCATTCTTAAACAAGTGTCAGATCCCTTAGTTGAAGTGCAAGGAGCCACCAATCTGCTGGATCAAGGAGTTCATTCAAAATTCGAGTAAACCTGCACAGATTATATTCTTCATTAAGACTGCATTTGTCCTCATAAACCAGGTGACTATGACTTTACACATCTTATCCATCAGAGAGGGAGCAATTGTACGGGACATTTCATGGTCAAGCAAGGTCACCAAAAAATGTCCTTAGATGACTTCTTCAAATCTCGATGTGACATAGACTTCTCCTCTTAATAGAGAACATCCAGAAATGTTAGGACTTTATTCAAGAACAGCCCGTTTTACATAGAAGTACATCCCGATAAGACATGTGGACAGCTTTTATCACACTAAGTTGATATTATTGTAGATATTCCTAACCTAGTGAACCCAAAATAAAGCCAATATGGGTTTTATTCAAATGCTGTGAACGTATTTCACTGAAGGGTGATTATGATTTGTCAGCTGCTTTAGAGGCTTCCAAGACTAGCCGAGACACATTGTACTGCCTCTCTAGTACATACTAGGCACAAAGTAATACAAGTGAAGCGGTCTTATCAGTCATGTGACAGTTGCATGCAGCATGCAGATAAGGAGGACATTGTGCAGGTTTGTGGTTTTAGAAATCACCCTTTAATGCAATCTAATGAGAGAGTTACATAATACATCATTCCAGCTCTAGATGTTGTAAAATAATTAAATGTTGTATTCCATAAAAGCACAGTATTATCTGAACAGATCAGTGATCAGTGTGTGTCCTTGTTACTCAGAGACATGATAAGACCTTTAGGACATTTAAGCACATCCACTCAGTATTAAGCCATCTACAGCTGATGTAAGAAATTATTAAACCACCTTGTCAGGTTTTCACTGATATCCAGGACTTCAGAAGGCAGCAATGGTGTACATCCTAATGAAGAGCAATCCGCAATGAATCGGTTTTCACAAGGCCTTCTGTTTTAAATCCTAACAGCCCGCACCATCATGACACAAACATCGCACTACACATGGTTGCAGTGTGCCCCATTCACTAGAACGGTCTAAATGAGAATGGGTGGGGGAATCATGTATACCCCTGTACGACTGCCTTTGCAGCTTACGGTGAGCAGTTGGGGGGAGAGGTTAAAATGTGGCTCAAGCCTTAGAGAGATATCCCCCCACCTAATGTCTTGGTTTTATAATATACACTCACCAGCCACTTTATTAGGTACGCATTTTCAATTGCTTGGTACCACAAATTGCTAATCAGCCAATCACATGGCAGCAACTCAATGCATTTAGGCATCTAGACATGGTGAAGACGACTTGCTGAAGTTCAAACCAAGTATTAGACTAAGTGACTTTGATTGTGGCATGGTTGTTGGGTGTCAGATGGGCTGCTCTACTGGGATTTTTTCTAGGGTTTACAGAGAATGGTCCAAAAAAAGAGAAAATATCCAGTGAGCGACAGTTGAGTGGACGAAAATACCTTGTTGGGGTCAGAGAAGAATGGGCAGATTGGTTCGAGATGATAGAAAGGCAACAGTAACTCAAATAACTACTCACTACAACCAAGGTATGGAGAATACCATCTCAGAACAAATGGCAAACCTTGAAGCAGATGGGCTACAGCAGCAGAAGACCACACTGAGTGCCACTCCTGTCAGCTAAGAACAGGAAACGGAGGCTACAGTTTGCACAGGCTCACCAAAATTGGACGATAGAAGATTGGAAAAACGTTGCCTGGTCTAATGAGTCTCAATTTCAGCTGCAACATTCAGATGGAAGGGTCAGAATTTTAGAGTAAGCAACATGAAAGCATGGATCCATCCTGCCTTGTATCAATGGTTCAGGCTGGTGGTGGGGGTGTAATGGCGTGGGGGAGATTTTCTTGGCACTAGCAAGGTGGACCTAATAAAGTGGCTGGTGAGTGTAGGTAGTAAAAAAAAAAAAAAAAACAAAAAAAAAAAACTCCAACAGCAACACAAAACAGAATAAAAATATTTTTTCCAGCAGAGTAGGGAGATGCTAGAACTTCTGTCTGGTTTTTTGTTGCTGTTTTAGGTTTCCCTCACTTACTGTCTGGTGATACTGTTTAACCAGACACACCCCCCCCCCCCCCCCCCCATTCTATCCAAAACAAAAAGGAAAACTTGTGACTTGTCATACACTTTGTACTTAACTTTTGGTAATTGTACCCTGTCAAACACCAAACATTACAACACTAATTAAAAAAAATTATTGTGTTGCATAAAATGGTTAATCCCTTGCCTACAGGCAAATGCTGCAAATTACTATCATTAAGAATTATCATCATAACATCTTATTGGAAGGACAAAAAGGGTATACTGTAGTAGAAACAAACCTATGAAGATTTAAAAAGAGGATACTGTACATGAAAGTGTTAGTGGGACACATATATAGAGACAAAAAACAAGCCAGTTGATGTCAAGATCTCACAGTCGATAGTCCATCTCAGGAGTGAGCAAGAGAGGATGGCTACGTTCCTACATACCATGGAGAACAAATGTGGCCACATTCTATCACAGGGGTGTCAAACTCAATTTCAGCAGTATGGCTGACCTCAAAGGACCAGGAGTTTCCCTCAAAGGGTTAAGGTGTGCGTTATGTACAAAATTCAGGGTTCTAGAGTATTTACGCACAGAGTGCAGGGTTCAAGGATGTGCTATGTACAGAGTGCAGTTCCATGGCTGCCCTATGCACAGAGTGCAGAGTTCAGCAGTACGCTATGTGCACAGTGCAGGGTTCAGGAGTGCAGAGTTCAGGAGTGTGCCATGTACAGAATGCAGGGTTCAGGAATGCGCTATGTACAGAGTGCAGAGTTCAGCGTGGGCTGCGTACACAGTGAAGGGTTCAGGAGTGTGCTGTGTACAGAGTGCAGGGTTCAGGAATGCGCTATGTACAGAGTGCAGAGTTCAGGGTGGGCTGCGTACACAGTGAAGGGTTCAGGAGTGTGCTGTGTACAGAGTGTAGGGTTCAGGAGTGCGCTGTGCACAGTGCTTCTGGCTTCTGTGTTTACAAGTGAGAGCAGGGAGGGGAAGTAAAGGGCAAGATCTGGAGGTGGCGGAGTGGCATTCCGCCATGTTCTGGCTGCAAAACTGGATTCAAAATCCACATGACAAAGCCTGGAGGGCTGGATTTGACCCGCGGGCCTTGTGTGTTTAACGTATGTGCTCTAATATGTACTCAGATCGCAGCAGAATAAAAAAAGAATGTAAAAGCGTGATTCTTGTGAGCTACTATGGTGTATTTTATGCATTCATGTCTTTGTGAGGTGAGTGAATGACATAAAAATACAATAAATATAACTGAAAACACACTACTATAAAGATTGTGTACTAAATAAATATACTTATGTGTGTGTGTGTGTGTGTGTCTGTCTGTGAAAAAAAAAAAATATATATATATGAAAATCAAAAAAGTGGGTCACCTACACCATACACACTCATACACGTGTGTCACTATAATAAAAAAAAAAAAACAGATAAAACGCGTTGTTCGATAAAACGTGACACGTTTTATCTGTTTTTTTAGAATAAAAAAGAAATTTGGAGGAGGCCGAGAGCAATAGAAGGGACTTTTCTGCAGTACAAATGCATACTTGAATAGAATATTTTCTTCCTAAACCAGAGTTTAGAGTCACTTTAATTTCTACAAGGTGACATCATAAACACTCACACTCATGAAGAGTCCGGTTTGCTTCATCATCCAAGATAAGCTGTAAATTGTAACCTGGAGAAGAAAAAAAAAATCCCTTGGAAATAAAAGACATTTTGAACAAACAAACTCACCTATAGCAGCTGCTGTTTTTGAAGTTGGAAGATTAGTGCAGTCCCCTATGCCAAAAACATTGGGGTACTTCTTATGTTGGAGGGTCTCCTTGTCCACATCCACCCAGCCACCTGCATCTGATACGGGGCTGTTGACTAGTACATCTTGTGGTCCCATCGGAGGGGTCACATGAAGCATTTCATACTGTGAGGCATAAGAAACAGGTGAATGCAAGGTAGCTGTAGGCTATGATAGTAGTGCAAATATAAAAGAGAAGTGCTAAATATTCAAATTATATTTTTTACATAGCAGCTGTATAAAAAAAAACCTAGTACATTAAGGCCACATTCACGCTTTGCGTAGCAGGTATATGTGTTCCCGCTCATCCCTGCATTTTTCACGTTTCTGTGGATCATGTATAGGGCAGCCCAAGCATTTGAATGGGCTACACCAAAAAAAGCTCCCATAAACCATTGGACATGGAGCTTTGCGTGTGTTTTGCCGCAATTGCTGCACATTTTGTCACACAACGAATGTGGCAAAATTGCACCGCATTTTTGGTGCCACTAAGAAATAGCACCGCAAGAGCATCATGAGCTTTGCTACATTCCTGAAAACACAGAAAGAAATGCAAGATTCTGCCCATGTTTTCAGATCAGCCAAAATGTGAATGAGGCCTGAATGGGCTGCCCTATGCGCAACAAACACACCAAAGAAGGTCCAAAACCTTTTAGGGAATATAGGGTTGTGAGATTTTTTTTTCAGTGCTTGTTTTGCAGCAATTTGCAGGGTTTTTTTTTTTTTTTTTTTCACACAACAAACGTGGTCAAATCTCCCCACATTAGGGGTGCCATTAAGAAATAACTGCTCTGCAGTCATGCAAGCGCGTCTGAAACCGCAGACAGAAACACGCCTGCCTTCATTTGCAGAGTGGCCAAGTGTGAATGGGGCCGATGGATTTATATTGCCAAGTCAGTGAATCACTTTATATTCTTATACTAGAAAGAGTTTTTCTCAATAAATACTGTAGATATGAAAGTGCATGTACAAATATACAGCATTAGAATATTTCTTACAACAGATTATATAGCCATGTTTCTTTGAACCTAATTTTATTTCCTGCATGAAACACATTAAAGCTAGGTTCACAGCTATGCAGTTTGCATTTGATCCGTTTCTGAAGTGCGTTTTTGATGCCTTTTGAGTTTTTTTTTTAATCTTTTTTTTTTCTTGTTGCTTGGCAGATTTAAAAGGCATCAAAAACGTGGCAAAAAAACACATTACATGCTTTTCTGCAGCGTTTCCATTGAAGTCTATAGAACCAAAATTGCAACTTTTTGTGTTTAAAAAAAGTCCCTGACCCTTTCCAAAAAATGCACCGGGTGAAAACGCGAAGATGTGAATCTGTCCCATAGGAAATCATGTTAAATGGACTTAATCTATCCATCCATCCATCCATCCGGGATAGGGCTATATAAATCAATTCATTTCCAAGTCCATTTAAAGGGACACAAGCTGTTTTTGACCTCACTTAACGGTTTGGTCATGTAAATCAGGTGAGTGCACACTGTGGTGAAGAAAGTTTTTGTGGACTTTTTTTATATTTCACTAGAGGAAGACAGCTAAACAAGCACGGATTGTGTTTAAAATAAGCACGCAGTTTCAGAAGGAATGCACACTAAAAGCTGGACTCACATATGTTATTTATAATTTATTGAAAATACTTTGAATTTTATATTGTTTATGAATAAGTCCATTGAGTATATTTCACGTATATTAGTGGAGCGCGACACGTTTTGCATTTATTTTTGATCATGATAAATAGACTGATTTTTGCAAAACGCTGTCAAACGCTTAGGTGTGAACCTAGGGAAAACCTGCGGTTTAGAAATGCATTTTAAAGCATAGTTACACTTGTGCACTTTGGACCAAAGTATGTATGTGTCATAAACAGAGGGCGCACAGGCCTAGTGCATTACCATAAAAAATGTTTAATAAGAAATAAAGTAGGTGTTGTACTCACAAACGACAATAAAGACAAGGCACGTCATAAAAGAGCAGCTGGGTCAACACCGCGCTGAGTAACAGTCCGCAATAGGGAGTGTAGATATCCAATAGGTTGATGCGTTTCGAGGACTTGCTTATTTAGAGCCCTGAGGAAGAGGCAAGTACTCGAAACGCGTCAGCCTATTGGATGTCTACACTCCCTATTGCGGTGTTGACCCAGCTGTTCTTTATGATGTGCCTTGACTTTATTGTTGTTTGTGAGTACAACACCTACTTTATTCCTTATTAAACATTTTTTATGGCAATGCACTAGGCCTGTGCGCCCTGTTTGTTCTTTCCTCATTCAGTATATTTGGATTTCCCCGGTCTATTGAGGGCAGCAAGGTGTGCATGTTCCAGGACATTCTTAATGTGGTTGCAGCCTGCATCGAGTCCATCCCCAAGCGCAGGAGCATTTGTGTTTGCTGGTTCTATGTAGGTGTCATACCTGTAGCATTCCTGTGGAGGCACCGCTACTCTGGTGATTGCCGCTGCTTTACAGGTCCTGTGCCGAGCGACTGCCTTGCTGCACGGTGAACATGGGGGTCACTCGCTTGGCATAGGTGCCATTCACAGAATAGCTTGCACCTCCTTGCCTCTCTACCTCCAATTAGAGGACGCCTTCATTCATTGAGAAAAATACAAAACGTTCTGTAAATAGTGCCCGTGCCGAGTGAGCAACCTCCTGTGTTCACTATGCAGCAGGAAAGCCACTCAGCATGGGACCTGGAAGGCAGCAATCATCACTGGAGAAGCGGCATCTACTACAATGATTTGTGACTTCCACAGGGATCCAACAGTTATGGGGCATGTATGTATACTTGCCATGCTTGAACCAATGAAATGCTGCTATAAAATGCATACCTACATTTCAGCTTTTAAGTAGCATTTCAGAAGCTGGACACCTGTTATGGCCAATTATGCACCTCAAGTTGGATATGTGAATAACTTCCACTGCTGGTCTATATTTACCACCTTGAGGACCTCTGATGATAAAAATATATTCACTTCATATGAGTCCATCTGCACTCTTACTGGGACACTTTGACAGTCACAGTCAGTCTGTAAACAGAAGCAGCTCCCAGTAGCACCTGCCTGATGACTCTAACAGATTGCTCCCCGCATTGCTGGAACACGCTGCTCCACAAATACAAAGTTGCAGCCAATAACTGCAGATCACACATTTTTATCTGTGTCCTAAATACAACCTGAAATACAGGAAAGCTTGATCGTGATTTTTATCCGAAGGAAAAGGCTGCTTTCACAACGGATCTGTTCTTCTGCTTTTGCGTTAAATGAAAAAGTGGAAGAAAAACACAGGAACATGTATTCCTATGGAACTTTTCACACCGATCCAGTGCGGGTCAGATGCATTTTTAAAAATCCTGCTTGCTGCATTTTGTTGCAGATTTCGTGCAGTAAAAATACAAAAACAACGAAAAAAAAAAATTGCAGTGCGTTTGAGTCACATGTCATGTTAAAAACACGGAAAAAAACGTGACAAAAAACACATACGCATTTTTGTCGCAGATCAGTACGTGCCCTCTACCCAGAGATGCAAAATCACGTTATATCCATATATCTGCTATATGAAAAACGGTTAAGTTTGTCCAAAGATAAACAAATACCACTGTGAGAATGTTCACTGTCCACCAGTATGCCTGAATAATCGCAGGAAATCCATCACTGCATGGTAGGTATGGTAAGGTCACAAAAAGCTTGTCCTTCCATCACCGAATATGTGACCAATCAAATATGGTAAATTAAGAGGCTCATTTAATAACGAGACTTCCCTTTAGTTCACTGGCTGGCAAACATCAGACTATCTGATTGGAGCTTCCTATTTACCTGGAAAACTTTGGTTTCTCCTGGTTTATCAAGGTTCTCAAATACGGCTTCTTGCTTTTCAGGTCGGACCTCAATGAGATTATGTTTATAATTCACAGTGATGTCCCGCTCCTTGGTGATCTCCAGCAGGGCATCTGCATACTTCTTTACCCCAAAAATGACTCCCAAAGATGTGTTGAAGAAGAAGTTAGCATCAGATCGTCTTCCATTCTGTGGGTGCAAATGAAGAAAAAAAAAAAAAAATATGCCATATTACATACACTATACAAGAGCAGCAACAAACGTGGGATGAAAATTATTATTACTACAGATACTTATATATAGCGCTGTCAATTTAAGCAGCACTTTCCATATATATTGTACATTCACATCAGTCCCTAACCCTCAAGGGGTGTACAATCTAAAGTCCCTAACCTACATTCATACATACACATACTAGGGCCAATTTAGACAGGATCCAATTAACCTTCCATAATGTCTTTAGAGCGTGGGAGGAAACCAGAGCACCAGGAGGAAACCCACACAAGCACAGGGAGAACATGCAAACTCCAGGCAGGTGGTGCCATGGTTGGGATTCATACCAACGACCCTAGTGCTTCCAGGCAGAAGAGGTAACCAATTAGCCACTGTACTGCCTAAAGATAATCTGGAAAAGGTTTTTTGGTGTGTTCAAGTAACGTCTTATTTTAACTGCAGTACCTTTTGGCAAGGCACACCCATTCGTCAGTTCACACTTATACACCCATTTTACAGCTTCAAAAATTGGAATAGCATTACTATTGTACATAGTTAAATAGGAAGATCAGGTCAAATCTGAGGCTAAATCTACTCCTACGCCCTTTCTAAGCAGATTCTATCTAGCCCTGTAAAGAAAAGATCTATATACCTGTCCATCATACTGCCCCAAACTACATCACTGACCTAATATCCAAGTGCCGCCCAGCACGCACACTCCGCTCCTCACAAGACCTCCTTCTCTCTAGTTCCCTGGTCTCCTCCTCCCATGCCCGCCTCCAGGACTTCTCCAGGGTGTCACCCATCCTCTGGAACTCCCTGCCCCAACCCATCAGATTATCACCTACTCTCCTCTCCTTTAGGCGCACCCTGAAAACCCATCTCTTCAGGGAAGCCTACCCCACCCCCTGCTAACTTGCTGACCTCCTCCACTTTTCCTACCACTCCGTCCCCCGCAGCTATCTCCTCCTGTGCCACCATCCCCTCCCTCCTAGATTGTAAGCTCGAAAGAGCAGGGCCCTCGATCCCCTCATGTTTTGCATTGTATTGGTATTGTTCTGTCACATGTTCTGTCCCCCTTTGTAATGTACAGCGCTGAGCGAAACTATTGGCGCTTTATAAATACTGTATAAGAATAATAAATTTAATAATATACCTACCTATTCTGAAGACGCTCCGGTTTAGTCACTTTATCTCTCCAGTGGCGACTTCTGTGTAGAGATCGCTGACAATGGCTGCAAATGCCTGGGAAATTATACTACCCATAGGCTTACTATGGGGCATCCGTTGTTGGCTGCCCCTCCTCTAAACTGAGGCCGCTACTACATCCTGGGACTTGATAGTCTTCAGAATAGGCAAGTATAGAGAGATTGTCTTTACAGGCTAGATAATAATAGGCTTAGAATGGGGGTGGGCATAGGTTTAGCCTTAGTTAGATTTTGGCTGAGCCTCCACTTTACATAATTATACGATACAATTACACAGTACATAATAAGAAAGGCTCAAAGTAATAAAAACCACCAAAGTAAAGAGAATAAGCAAATGAGTACAATCCAAAAAAAATTTAAATAACAGGCTCAAAAGTGGGAAAATGAAACCATTAAAGCTGGAACATGTAAATTATTATACAGTAGGTGCTCCTATATATGTCATGGTGTAAGAAGGGTTACGTGGCACCTAGGGCTCTCACCTATAGAGGGTTGAGAGGATGCATGTTTGGTAGAGAGGAAATGGATTATTGAGTGTCCTCTGTGATTAGTAAGTCCTGGTCTAGTTCCTGGAGTCCAGAGGCTTTATAGAGACTTAGGCCTCATGCACAAAGGACGTTTTAAAAAACGCTCCTCTTCCTGGCAACAGCGTTTTGGCAAAAAAACGCCTGATGCTTGTCAAAGTGTCTAACGCGTTTACAAGTGTTTAGGTGCATTTACAAGTGTCAAGCTATTGGGTGTTAATTCATTTAATTGGCCACAATAATAATTTATACTGGCTATTGAAATGAATTAATAATAGATGCACCTAAAAGTGGCTACAAAAATGCCCTGTGTGCATGAGACCTTAGCAGGGATGAAGTCTCCAATCCTGGGTCCAGGTTTTGTCACAAAACATCACACTGATTGTAGAGATGTGTAGTTTGGGAGTGACTGTGGCTCAGGGCTGCACTCTTCCCAGGAGTGGCTAAGGATGATGCATGGGTACACACGTTTGAGTTCTGTCTGAAAGAACCAAGGTCTGACCGCTAGAACAGCACTGCTGCAGAGTAACAGCCAGGAGGCTGAAGTATTTGCTTATGGCAGACAGAGATGAAGAACAACACCTGCGTGGGTCCCCATTTGTGTTTCTGTGAAAGTGGGCAAAACAATTTCTTCATAAACTACCCATATAAAAAGGAACCTTAGAAGAGGAACAATAGTGAGAAATGGATGTCACCATGGATGGCTGGGACTGCTTTGGCTCCCACTGCTGTCCAAGACAAGGTTCTGAGGAGGGAGCGGGCCGACACAAAGGCGGCTTGGGAGCGAGAACACAAAAGTGCCCTCAAAGCAAACAGCTTGCTCTCGGGGCACTCACTGTGTGTGTGTGTGTGTGTGTGTGTGTGTGTGTGTGTGTGTGTGGGGGGGGGGGGGGGGGGGGTAGGAATGCCTAGTACACAGCAGGTAAGTATACCAAAAAAAGTGAACCTTTAGTAATCACTCTGACTTTTCTGAAGGATGTAGCAAAACTAAGGACTTAAAGCGGTTCTTCACCGAGTCAGCACCTTCAGGTTCCCGTGCTGGCATCTTAAATGTGGGCAGCTGCCTGTGACTCCTTGCAGCTTCCCAGCCGGCAGCCCACTGCGCATGCGTGAGCCGCACCCAGTAAATGGTCCCACAGTCTCCTGGGACTTGTGACATGTCCCTAGAGGCTGTGGGGAAAGGGGTGGGGCAAACTTCCACTCCAATCAAAATCAGGTACCCACTCCCCCCCCAAAAAAAGACATGGAAAATAAGGCGGGGGGGGGGGGGTGAAAGGAAAGCGGAACTTCCCCTTTTGGATGAAGCTCTGCTTTAAAAAGGAACTAAACTTTGGAAGCTGTGCCGAAAATAAGGCAAAGGACTACTAGTCACCAGTATTGCCTGTGGTCTTTCTGCAGCTGATCTTTCCCTCATTACTAACTTACCATGCCTTGTTCTGCACTGTGTCTCTGTGTGGAGGGGGCTATCTGGGTAAATCAAGGCTTTCCTTCCTCATGTCAGAGCCTCCAGTAAGGAGAACAGTGAGCAGCACAGTAGTGACACACCACCAAATCTCACTCTAATTTTCTGGAGACAGGCAGTCAGAGCCACAGTGCCTTAGATCTCACACTGCAGATAGCAAGATATTAGGCTATAGGCACAGAGGTGTCAAGGCACGCTGTCATACCAGGAAGTGCACAGATTTATCAGACCAAAAGGTATCTTTTTCAAGGTATTGCTTAAGTACAATTAAAACATGTAGATCTGCTGTGTTATAGGGGAATTTTGCAAGTGTTAAGTTCAGTTCCACTTTAAGAAAAATACAAGGAAAAAAACGGGGTAAAAAAATAAATAAATAAAAGCTGGGAACATATTATGTATAGTCATATCTAGTTTGAATGATAAAAAGATAAAAAGTAATTATTAAACTACAATAAATGAGTACAAATACATTAACCAATATGGTAGCAAAAGTGTATATTCCAAAAACTTATATACTATAATGTTGCTAAAAAAAAAATAAAAAAATAATAGGTTACATTTACAAAAATATGAACTACCCATGTCATAAAACTACATATATGAAATGAAAAAGATTTAAAAAAACTCAAAGCATTTGCTGGTAATTCTGACAGTACTGAATTTTGGCTTTTAATCATATTATATGAGTGCAATGACTTTTTATTAATAATCACTGGCAACACCTTTCTGGGCCATTTCTTCTTGGTTTGGTGTAGCACAGAAAAAGTAGGCAAAAAAAAGGTATGTGTACAGCAACATACTTTCCTAAGATATGCATCCGACAAATACATGATTTTCTGTGGAGCGCCCGCACATTTCACTGGAGTGTTGGGGAAGGTGAAAATAGCATTTCCCTTTTTAAAGTCCTGCAGAGCCTTCCAGGTCTTCTCCACTGTTTTTACAGAGTAGTTGGAGCCGATTTTGGGGTAGTTAAATGCTTCAGGCAGTCCTTTAACCTATCATGCAAAAACAGGTGAGGTCAACACAATTTCATCCAAATGTGGGCTTTGAAGCTAAAAACATGAAGTAATAATTCAACCTGTACAACAAGCTCAACAATATTACAGCATACCCAAACAGACACTGCATATAACTAAGGGGTGTATTTATTAGAAATTTACACAGCTGTTTGTTCATGGAAACTGCAGCTTTAAATTTGTTCTGTGCATAATTGATTGTTCTCTGGCTATAATCTCTTCAACTCAAATGTGTGAATGTGGAAAATACCACATTATGGCCACTAGATGGTACCAAGGAGCAGAGTTATTTCATATGATAGTCAGAGCCATCTGGTGGCCACAATGCTGTATTTTCCAAATTTACAAAATGGATTTACATGCAGTCTTAATGGACGGACAATGGATGTTTAATGTAGATAGGTAGAGTGACAAATTGGCCATGGAATATAAAAAATGAAAGAACATCATTCAATTTCCAAACTTATCCTAAGAAATGCTTTTATTTTACTGGCATTTGTACAGTATTATTTAACACAGGGTTTCCAAAATCTCTCCTCAAGTCCTACCATCAGCTCAAGTCTTGTGGATGTTCACATAGGTACCAAAAGTGTATTTCTGAGACTCTGGGCACTCAAGAACAGGTTTGAGAAACACCCACTCAAAGTGGTATTAAACCCCAAAGCAAAAAATTATACTGTATATATATTCATATAATCATCATTCAGCATCTGTGACATCCTCAAAAACCTTTTATATACACACACACACACATGCTCCCAGATTTAATCCACCTTCATGAAGGTACTCTTTAAATCTGTGAAATCCTCAAAAAAAGAAAAAACTCAATATAGTGCATTATCCCACACAAATAAACAAAATATCCTATAAATCACCCTGTGGTTACCGACGTGTCACCCCACTTCATGTCCACATCTAAATGGCTGTAATAAACACCATTACCCTCTGTGTGTGTGTGTGATATATATATATATATATATTTATATTTATATTAACCAATCCTTAAATGTGCTGGCTGCATTCGTTTTTTTTTTTTCCTTTATTTTACCTGTGTTCTGGCCAGTAACACTTCCGGTCTTAGGAATGCCATAGAATATGCGATTTTCTTTCCTTTCACCATGGTTTGCAGGAAAGAAATGCTCGACTCCCCCATCAACTCTGACTGTGTTGATGGGGGAATCCCTCCCACAGAGCTATTGTGTGTTCTCCCTGTGGGTAGCCAGCTCTGCTGGGAGGGAAGAATGTCACCAGCACACCAAGGATCACCATTGGTCCAAAAGCAAGGCATTTGCTGTACCTATGTGATAGTTCATTAAAACCTTTGGACCCATATTGGTGATCCTCGGTGTGCTGGTGACATTCTCCCTTGCGGATTCTGTTTGGTTCCAGCCGACATTCGCTGCAGTACCCACTTATACACACAGCCATTTTTTAACGCAGGAATGTGTGCGTTTGGATTGTACACTTGTCTCTGCTGGGAGAACACAATGATTATTGCTAGTGGCTATAGCTGTGAGCAGTAATCACAAGTTAAAAATTCAACAGGCTCATTGTACCAAAGTCAATCGATGGATTGACTTGGGTAAATCAGCCTGCCCATAGATGGATTGAATCTTGGCTGGTCCCTGCTAAACTGGCTGAGACTCGATTTATCTATGGCCATCTTTAAGGGGTCTCCACTATGGATGGAGGAGCAACGGAGACACCTTTGGACAGCAGCATTGTCAATCTAGTGAGACGGGAGTGTTGGATGTACTAGCAGATTTAGATGGACTAATAAATGAAAGCCACATTTCAGCAAACACTTTTTAAGCTGTAAAACAAAAGTTTTTTTACTTTTGGGATAAAAAGGATAAAAGTTTTGGATAAACTAATAAAAGCTGACCATTGTAAGCACCCCCACTGCCAGTGTTAATGCTTTGTCTTAAGCCTCTAACTGCCACTTTTGCTGGACAGCTTGGTCTCTTTAAAAAGAACTTTCTGGCAGGATCCCCAGGTGAAAAATTAAAAGCTGAAAAAAGGAAACTAAGGCAGCTACTACATCTAAGAACAGGTAAACTGTATTATATTACATTCTTGTTTTGGGTTTTAGTTCATAGCAACCCTATAAATCTCCCATAACTGCCCTCTTAAAAGGCAGGAATACTACAAGGAGGAAAACCTGTCATGCATGAACATTTGCAGGAAGTATGATTGGAGAATACTGACACCTAGTGGACCCATATATTAATGTACTTTGGTTTTATTTCCAAGTGGACTGTGCTATGGAGAACTGGCTGTGAATTGATATTTCAGCAACTGTTCAAGTAGCTTTTTTCACTATATAATGCCATGGTGCTGAGGGCAAAACATAAAAGAACCTATCGGTATTGCAATATGGGGTGTTTAACAAGAAAACCATTTGACACAAGTTCTTATGAGAATCTGTTTAAATGGCACCAATCTCCTAGATTGTAAGCTCCAAGGAGCAGGGCCCTCAAATCCCTCTTGTATTGAGCTGTACTGTTACTGTATTGTCTCCCATTATATTGTACAGCACTGCCAAACTGTTGGTGCTATATAAATCCTGTATAATAATAATCTCTTTGACGTTAACGCAAAATTTAAATTAGAATTCTACTACAACCCCTGGCAAAAAGTATGGAATCACCACTCTTGGAAAACGTTCATTCAATTGCTTAATTGTGTAAATAATCACAGACATGCCTCAAAACTATTTTCATTTAACATTCGAACCGTCTGGCTTTAAGAAACACTTAATAAAAGAAAAAAACTGTAGTCAGTTGCAGCTGTTTTTGCAGTTCAAGCAAAGGAAAAAAAATATGGAATCACTCAATTCTGAGGAAAATATTATGGAATCATGAACAAAAACACTACTGTACACACCACTAGTACTTTGTTGCACCACCTCTGGCTTTTATAACAGCTTGAATTGTCTGAGGCATGGACAAACAGTATTCTTTAACAATCCAGCTCCAATTTTCTCTTATTGCAGTTGCCAGATCAGGTTGTCAGGCTGGAGCCTTGTCATGGACCATTTTCTTTCATTTCCACCAGAGATTTTAAATTGGATTGGGGTCCAGACTATATGTAGGCCATGCCATTGACATATGACTTTCTTGAGGGAAAGTTTTCACAGCTTTTGCCCTATGGCAAGATGGATTATCATCCTGAAAAATGATGTCATCATCACCAAACATCCTTTCAATTGATGGAATAAGAAAAAATTGTCCAAAATCTCAATATAAACTTTTTATATATATATATATATATATATATATATATATATATATATATATATACATATACACACACACACACACACACACACACACATATACAAAACATTTATTGAAGATTTAATTACATCTCCCTCATACCTTTACCAGATATGCAACCCATATCATCAATGGTTGTGGAATGTTGCAGGTTTTCTTCAGCCAGTTGTCTTTAAACATTTCATTGGAACGGCTCCAAACAAAAGTTCCAGCATCATCACCTTACGCAATGCAGGTTCATGATTCATCACTGCATATCACTTTCATCCAGTCATCCACAGTCCATGATTGCTTTTCTTTAGCCCATTGTAACCTTATTTTTTTTCTGTTTAGGTGTTATTGATGGTTTTCGTTTGGCTTTTCTGTATGTAAATCCCATTTCCTTTAAGCAATGTCTTATAATTCAGGCACAGACATGGACTCCAGTTTCTGCCCATTTGTTCCTCTTTTCTTTTGTTGTGCATCTTCTATTTTCAAGGCATATTGCTTTAAGTTTTCTATCTTGATGCTTTGATGTCTTCCTTGGTCTCCAATACGTTTCCCTTTTACAACCTTCCCATTTGATTTGTACTTGGTCCAGATTTTAGACACAGCTGACTGGGAACAACCAACAACATTTTGCAACAAAACGATGATTTACCTTTTATAATCTTCTCCTTTGTTTCAACTGACATCTCTGGTGTTGGAGCCATGATTCATGGCAATCAGCTTGGTGCAACAGCTCACCAAGGTGTGCAAGCACTCTTCTTTACCTGCAGACTAATTAGCAGATGTAATCTGATGAAGATGTTTGTTTTAGAACTTCAAAGTACATTGGGATTCCATAATATTTTCCTCAGAATTGAGTGATTCCATATTTTTTTTGCTCTGCTTGATCTGCAAAAACAGTTGCAATTGACTACAGTGGTCTTCCATTTTTTTTTTTTTTTTTAAGTGTTCCTTAAAGCCAGAAGGTTGGAATGGTAAACGAAAATTGTTTTTATGCATGTCTGTGATTGTTTTTTTTTTCCTACACAATTAAACAATTGAATGAATATTTTCCCAAGAGTGGGGATTCCATACTTTTTGCCAGGGGTTGTAGTGTATGGCTCACTTTAGAGGAGTAAAATATCGCTTCAACGGGTATTAAAAAAAAGGTAAAAAAAAAAAAAAAAAACAAACACAGAAGGGGCCAGTTTATCTGGACACAAGTACACCATGAGGCACAACATTTAAAATTCCTAGCTATCCAAGTAAAGTCTTTTCTACTCCTAATGGTAAAAGGGCACATACGTACAGCGATTGTATTATTGGGAATCAGACTCTAATCAATAATTCACATATACTGCTATTACAACGGTTATGTTCTCTTGTAAAAAAGGGCCATTTTTTTTATACATATTTGTTTTACAAAGCAGATAACTGATAACGTGAAATGCGTCATGTACTGTAGGTGATTTGATATGGAAAGCTTCCAGCTAAAGCCTGAATACAAAGTACTCATTATTCTCTCTAATGATCCACTTGCAGGAAGCTGCATCTAATTTTTTTCTCATTAGGGCAATATCATCCAACAAAACAACACAAAAAGTATAAGACCAAAAAACTGCATCTGTTCTAAAGATCTGCTGATCATCCTAATGGCTCCTGAAACCACAGTGACTTTATCCCTTTCCACTGAAAGCACTGTGGTTTTATCCTCTACTACAAAAAGTACACAGTGACTTTATACCTTTGTACTGAGGCTATGGTGATACTGAAAGCACATCGACTTTATCTCCTTTTACCATGGTGATAATTGTACTACTGAAACTGTGCTGACTTAATCTCCTTCTACTAAAACCACAGTGACCTTATTCCCTTCTACAAAAATCACGGTGACTATCCCCACAGTGACATATCCCCCCTTAATCTCCTCTTCTCAAGAGAGAATAAATTCAGTTCCTCTAATCTTTCTTTCCTCATAGCTGAGCTCCTCCATGCCTTGTATCAGTTTGGTTGCCCTTCTCTGTACTTTCTCCAGTTCCCCAATGTTCTTTTTGTGAATTGGTGCCAAAACTGAACCGCATATTCCAGATGAGGTCTTACTAATGATTTAACCGGGGTAATATGATATCTCTCTCTCTGGAGTCTTACCTCTTTTAATAAAAGAGGATTTTGCTTGCCTCTTGGCATTGCATGCCGTTTGTGATCATATGTGACAAGAGTGTTAGGATGCCCTTCTCTGTCACTTAATGCTCCAGATTATAACCATTGATGGGTAACTTTCAAAATAACATGTTGTGAAGTGTGGTTAAAACCAGTTGAAACCAGAGATGTGGCTGATATTCACCAGATGTGCATTCCATCAAATAGGTAACTACGCGTGATGGCACAAACCGATCACGCGTTGACTCTAACTACTCCGCAGAATCATACATGACGTTATACAACCAGGAGATACTGCGCATGGCAGTAGATAAAGACATTCCAAACTATGTATATAAAAGACGGGGGATTCTAGGGGATAATTTGGGACTCATTGAAGATGCGGCAGACGTGCCTTGCGGTGATTTCCCGGATTCCCCTTTGCTGACTGTTGAGTCCCCCAGTCACTGGGCAGTGGGTGATGCTACAATATCCGGTGATGTATTGATGCTTTATTCTTGCTATAATATGATCTAAATATGATTTGCAATTCTGACAATTCTTATGTTATTATACTAACAGAACTTATTCAATAAATCATGTTTTTTTGCTTTAATATTTATTAAGCCTAATCCGTGTGTTTAGTGAGCGATTGTAGTAGTGCTTTTAAAAACACTTTTTTTGAGGCACACCGTTAAATCCTATTTTTTTTTTTTTAAAGAAGAAGCCCTAGAGAATAAAAATGGTGTCTTTTGCTAATTTTTTTTATGTCACACGGTATTTGCGCAGAGGTTTTTCATTTTTTTTTGTATAAATATACTTTATTGAATCTCAATGCAAAAAAAAACACAATACATTACCCATTTTTTTTGTAAAATATAAAAGATGATGTTATGCCAAGTGAGTAGACACCAAACATGTCATGCCTTGAGATTGCACACGCCTGTGCAATGGTGACCAATGTAAATGTTACTTACTATCCATAGGCGACGCTTTAAGCCTTTACAGGTTTGCCATTTTAGATCCACAGAGGAGGCCTAATGCTATTTTTACTGCCCATGATCTGACGTTCACAGTGATACCTCACATGTGTGGGACGATCGCTGTTTTCATGTGTGAAGGACCAACATGCACATTTGCCTTTGCGTGCGAGCACGGAGTTTTAATTAGTAACATTTTTCTTTTTTAAAATTTTTACATTGTTGCTTTAATTTCTTTTCTTTTTTACCACTTTTATTGCTGTCATAAGGAATGAAGCATCCTTGTGACAGTGATAGGCATGTAACAGGTACTCTTTATGGGGCATAACTGCTGGATGTCCATTACGTACGGGTAAGTCATTGGACGGCAAGTGGTTAAAGACTGGTCACTGCTGCTCTCTCTCCATGTGCAGGGAGACTGTTCTCGTCTCCACCCTCTGCTGTAGCTTTCTGTTAGCAGCCTGTAGTGGGTGGAGCTGTTGAACTCCTCCTACAGCTCTGCTATCTGCACTGTCTATGCACAGCACAGTGATGTCATAGCTACGTTTACATTTTAATATCTGGGTTTGCAAAGGCATTTGGTACACATCCAGAATAAATTATATTCTTTGTGGTTATTGAGGAGTATAATGTAAAATTTATTTTTCTTCTGCAAAATTCCTCAGATTCTGATAAACCAGGGTTGTGGCTCCCTTACCTCTGCCATATTGCATAACCAGGATGAGGATGCTACCATTTACTTTTACAGCGCACCAGTTTTGCATGTCACCTGTTTATTCAATTAACTGTGAAAGGCATCGTCAGAAAGTTGAGGATCTCTTCTCCTCCTCTTGTAAACTGATCAACACATCCCCCTGTAGTTCTGACAACACATTAGATACATACACTCACCAGCCACTTTATTAGGTACACCTGTTCAATTGTTTGGCAACACAATTTGGTAATCAGCCAATCATGTGGCAGCAACTCAATGCATTTAGGCATCTAGACGTGGTGAAAACGACTTGCTAAAGTTCAAACCGAGAAACAGAATGTGGAAGAAAGGGGATTTAAGTGACTTTGAATGTGACATGGTTGTTGGTGCCAGGCAGGCTGGTCTGAGTATTTAAAAAACTGCTGATCTACTGGGATTTTCACGCACAACCATCTCTAGGGTTTACAGAGAAGGGTCTGAAAAAGAGTAAATATCCAGTGAGTGGCAGTTGTGTGGATGAAAATGCCTGGTTGATGTCAGAGGAGAATGGGCAGACTGGTTCGAGATGACAGAAAGGCAACGGTAACTCAAATAACCACTTGTTGCAACCAAGGTATGCAGAATTCCATCTCTGAATGCACAACATGTCAAACCTTAAAGCAGATGGGCTACAGCAGCAGAAAACCACACCAGGTGCCACTCCTGTCAGCTAAGAACAGGAAATGGAGGCTACAATTTGCACAGGATCACCAAAATTGGACAACAGAAGATTGAAAAAAACGTTGCCTGGTCTGAAAAGTCTTGATTTCAGCTGCGACATTCAGATGGTAGGGTCAGAATTTGGCGTAAACAACATGAAAGCGTGGATCCATCCTGCCTTGTATCAATGGTCAAGGCTGGTGGTGGTGGTGTAATGGTGTGGGGGATATTTTCTTGGCCCACTTTGGGCCCCTTAGTACCAACTGAGCATTGTTTAAACCCCACGTCCTACCTGAGTATTGTTGCTGACCATGACGACCCCTTTAGGACTACAGTGTACCCATTTTTTCTGATTGCTCCTTCCAGCAGGATAATGCACCATGTCACAAAGATCAGATCATCTCACACTGATTTCTTGAACATGACAATGAGTTCACTGTACTCCAATGGCTTCCACAGTCACCAGATCTCAACCCAATAGAGCACCTTTGGGATGTGGTTGAACGGGAGATTCGCATCATGGATGTACAGCTGACAAATGTGCAGCAACTGTGTGTTGCCATCATGTCAATATGGACCAAACTCTCTGAGGAATGTTTCCAACACCTTGATGAATCTATGCCATGAAGAATTAAGGCGGTTCTGAAGGCAGAAGGGGGTCCAACCCGGTACTAGCAAGGCGTGCTGGTGAGTGTATATGGTATATACACATTCTGACTGATTATGCCAGCAGCCTTTAGCTTACAGTTTATCTTGCATTGCTGTTCTCATTCATTTTAATGTTTCTCATATTCCATTGACCAATATCATGTTACAATATCCTATACCTAGAAACACCATAATGTGAAAACACAATTAATAATTAGAAGGGTTCTGACTAAATTCATCCTGGTATGTTTTCCTTCAATAACTTAGACACATTTTACTCCCCTCACCCTAGCTACAGAACAATATATGACAGTTATTGAAATTAGCAACACACATTTCCATATGGTGTAATACAAGTCTCTACTTATATAGATTTGTTATGCATGCCGTACCTTTTCAAATTGGAGTTTGATGCCCAGAGCGATGATTAAATATTGGTAACCTATCTGCAAATAAAAAGAGAACAGGATTAGTGATGTAACTAATAATCATGTAACATGATATAAACAGCTCTGATCCTCGATCCCATGTAAACTCTGTTGTAACCTGGAGCTTACAGGGGATTTAAGATGCTCTCCCAATCCCCATGTCACAGCAACAGACTCTGAGTGGCCAATCACAAAGTACCAGAGCTGTGAAAAAATTGTTATAAAATTTCTTACAATCAACAAACATCGTATATTTTCTGAAAGCAGAGGTGCTGGAGAATAAAATAGTGGTCATTGCCATTTTTTTATGCTACACATTAGTGCAGCTGTTTATCAAACACAATTTTTTAGGAAAAAATACACTAAAATGAATTTTAGTGCACACAAAAAAAAAAAAAAAATTTTTTAATTTTGGTAAATTATAAAACAGAGGATGGTCTGACCAGTAAATAAATACCAAACAAGTGAAGATTTCAAATTGTGCCAGTAAAATGGTGACAAACTACAGTACCTAAAATCTTCCATAGGTGGCGCATTAAAAGCCTTTACAGATTATCAGTTTAGACCTAAGGCTCCATGTACACTGCAGCTGATAAACTCACATTTAGGAGCTGTTCAGAGTTTTTTTCAGCAGCCCCTGAACCCTCCCTAATGTTTTCCTATGTGTCCATGTACACATCGTCGTTTACAGTCAGTTACAGGCAGTTGAGTTTACAGTCGTTTTTTTTGAACACAACAAACTTGCATTCAGGAGTATATTTTATCAGCGTTTCAACTCCAAACACTTGTAAACGCGGCTAACCACGTTTATAAGCGTTTGGATTTTTTTTTTTAACTCTTCCATTTCCAGATGCTGTGCAGAGCCTTTTTTCATCATGAAAAATGCATACAAAGCATTTTCCGGTACTCAAATGGACCTGGTACACCATACTATGAGGTTTCGCATGAAAGAAAATATGATAGACATTGCTGCAATAATTTCTGCACAGAAATGAGCTGGAACACATCCAAACACCACAAAAAAAACAAAAAAAAAAAAAAAAAAAACAGCTAATCTCAACAAATACTGCTCTCTCTACTTCTGCTCTATTTCTCTCAAAATGTCTGAAAAAGTTAAATTTTTTACTGTTTTTCAGTGCATTCTGGAAGGTCTCCTGAGGTGATCTTTAAAAAAACGCTTCTAAACGCAAAAGCTGATAAAACGCACATAAACTCGTTATGCAAACGCAGCTAAACAGACATTTTTTAACCTACGTTTTCCAGCAGTCAGTTTCCATCATTCAGAAGTGTTTTCCAAACATCCCGTTTCAACAGAAAATTAAACAATGCACATTTTTTTTTTTAACCACTTGCCCTCCAGAGGATTTACCCCCCTTTCTGACCAGGCCATTTTTTGCAATACAGTGCTGCATTATTTTAACTGACAATTGCACTGTCATGCCACGCTGCACCCAAATTAAATTTATGGTGGTTTTTCCCCACAAATGGAGCTCTCTTTTGGTGGTATTTGATCGCATCTGTGGTTTTTATTTTTTGTGCTATAAACAAAAATAGACCAACAATTATGAAAAAAAAAAAAAAAACAATATTTTTGATTTTTTGCTATAAAACATGTCCAGTAAAAAAATTTACAAAATCAATTTTTCGTCATAAATTTAGGCCAAAATGTATTCTGCTACATGTATTTGCTAAAAAAAAAAATCCCAATATGTGTAAATTAATTCGTTTACGTGAAAGTTTTAGCATCTACAAATGGCGGTATATATAGAGATTTTTATTTATTTATTTTTTTATACTAGGCGGCGATCAGCGACTTATAGCAGGACACTGGGGGGGAACTGGCTAACTGTCACACATCCCAGTGACACCAATACAGTGCTATGCAGAGCCACACAGAGCAGGATGCTGGAGCTGACAGGGGAAAGATCCGTATTGTTTACATACAGACCTCCCCCCCGTCAGTGATACTTGGCGATCACCGGGTGCCGGCGGGGAATTACCAGCCGGGACCCAGTGATGGACAGCTGAAGCCGCCAATGGTGGCGTGGGTAGGGCACGTGCGTGCCCCCTACCCGGGTATACAAAATCACGTATATACACATGATTTTGTGCAACCTTGCCGCTCTGTAGCAGTAGTTCTGCTAGCAGGATGAGAAGTTTCCCCGCTAGCTGTAAAAAATGGGGGACTGTCATTTTATAACATGTTACACCCTGAATATGGATGTAACATGTTATGAAAGGTGAACTTATCCTTTCATCACAAATGATGGTCCTAGAATTACTGCTCTCACTCTAACGTTTGTGAGAGATTTCAAACATGTGGTGCAATTGCTGCTTATATAGGTGTGCCAGACCTACATGCATGTATGCATTTGCTTGTTTGAGCAAAGGGATGGAGATGCTTTTAATTTTTTTCGTACTTATTTTTATGTAAAAAAAAGTTTATGTTTTTTTTTCCATTTAACTTAATTGTTATTACAAGGGGGCTAACAAGCCTCGGTCAGGTGACAGGTATTCTTTATTGAGAAGTCAGTCAGCACAGATTGCTGTTACAGCCAGGGGATGGCTCTTAAACCATCAAACATCTTTGTCACTTCTGGGATCATTTGGCACAGAGAAGATTGGGAGATGAATGTTCCTCTCTTTCCTCTATGGAAAGCCCCATCCTGACCACTTACTGTGGTCCCAGGCTCCCCAGGTGGGCCAGGAGAGGTTGGGAACCAGTGTGGGAGGGATTATGATGAGGGAGTTGCGGACTAAAATTATATGCAAATCTCATCTTTTGTCCCCCATCCCACTCCTATCTCCCTACTGGTCAGTGAGGCCACCTAGCACATTAGACCAGGGGTCTCCAAACTTTCTAAGCAAAGGGCCAGTTTACTGTCCTTCAGGCTTTAGGGGGGGGACAGACTGTGGCCAGTGGGAGAAGAAAGTGATGGCATCAGTAGGGGAACTGGTGCTCCATCATTGGTGTAATAGCACCCCAAGGGCCAGATAAGGGCAAGCAAAGGGCCATATCTGGCTCCTAGGCTGCAGTTTGGAGACCACTGCATTAGACGATCATGAGGGTTTAATAGGTAGGAAGGAACAGAGCTAAAATACATTTTACAGCTTGTATTGAATGTGGTAATAAAATCATTGACTTTGGTTTTACAAGTTTTTGCCTGCTATGGTGTAAATTGCAGCAATAAAATAGACTCCAGCAGCGTCGAGGGCAGATCCTATTTTCTGAGGTTTTGCAGACACTATTTCTGGCGCCAACGGTCATACTAGTTGCTTAGTCATGGATCTTTCAGACAAACTGGTTGAACAACAACTGAACTTCCTCCTCATCAGGTCTTTATGCTGTAAATACTAAATGAAAGCCACAGGATTCACTGTTTGGGAAATTTAACTTAAAGAACTTTAACCAGAAGATAAAAAGCTTGTTATATCACTCAGGGGATCCCAGTGCACATGGCACTTGTTCCCATTAAAATCTGTGCGGTATTGAATGAACATTTTCTTCCCACCAAATATATAAGATTTTCCAACTCTCCCATGCCTTCACTTAACACAAAAAATCAAGAATTCTGTTACAAAATTGATGACCCAATGATACACAGTCCCTGTTAAACTCAAAAAGATATAGGCTCAAACATCAGACCTCTGTTGGAGAGGTTGTGTTTAGAGGGCTGTGGTCTCTAGTTTTGGAATGGGTGGCACACATCTCAAGTCTTTGATGCCCACCCTCCAGACCATTTTCGTTATTTACAGCAGTGTTTCTCAGCAGTTTTTCTCAGTCAAACCTTTTTTCAGTCAAGGCACCCTTTAAACTTATGGACAGTCCTGAGGCACCCCATTCTAAAATGTGAAAAACTATTCTAACAGCAACATCCACACATGTAGGACACCCAACATTAGAGGTGATTTATTCTTGCAAAGCAAATACACTTTTGCCCACTGGTACTGACTGGTATTCCAATGTTTCTTTTCTCCCTCAGCTTTTCTCCATCACTGAGCTAATGTGACCACAGCACTGACAGAGAAGGGCAAGGGAGGGTCAAAACTAGGATTCTGTGCAGGCAGCTGATGTCCTCCTTATCAATTGATGATGTCATTGCTTGTCAGGACGCTGGCGGATAGAAGGTTGTGATGGCGCACAATGAAAACCTGTGGCTTTGTGTAACTACAAGGCAGCCTTGTTCCACCCGGGGGCTTGTATACAAGTTTTAGGCAATTTTTAGACATTTTGCCAAGGCACCCCTGAAGAAACATCAAGGCACCCCAGGGTGCCTGGGTACCTTGGTTGAGAAAGGCTGATTTACACCATAATACATCCCACCCAATAAAGTCTTACAAGAGGAATGTTTCACCACATCTAACTAATACAGCCAAAGGCCCATTAAGGTCTTTTGGAAGAAACCTCAACCATTACTGACTGGACCAAAAGTTCAATACCATCACTGGGGCTGAGAGTTGGTGCTTCTTCCAGAAGCATAAATATAATACATTTTATGGGATCTAGACACACCACCAAAGTAAAATCCACCTCAAAAGATCTCAGCGGCCACCTAATCACCTATACTTGGTGAATAAAAAACTCAGGTACATAACATCTGGACAACATTATCATACTGAAGTCCTCCCTCTCTTTTTATTGTTCAGTTCTCTTGTTACAGACCTTGAGTTGCTGTGGTTCCATTGTTTTTCCCCCCTTTTTCTCTTCTTGTAGTTTAGATCAACCTCAGTAATAGGAAGGTTGCATACTCTTTACTTGTGCATGCCTTCATAATGTCTGAACTATGGGAGCGGTTTCATCACACTTCATACAAATCACTTGGCATGCTCATCTGCACTTGCTCCCCTTTCCTCCTTTCTTTTGTTGTCCTCTCTACCTTCTCCCTACTCTTTCCCTTCCCATCCCTGAATCCTTGTTTATCTTTATATATGGAAAATTGTTCTTCACTATGTATATATTTTGCAAGTCAACTGTACTCTACAACAATGCCTGGTTACTGTTATCACAGTATTGGTGG